TTGCACATTATGCACTTAGAATGGGTAATATTTTGTATGAAAATGAGTTAATAAAAATCATGAGAGCACTGTAAGGCGCGCGCACTCTTATCATTGGCTCGTATTCGTACATAAGGCACGTTAGAAGCGTGCGGTACGGGCAAGCATGTGATTAATGAGACATTATTGTGGCAGCTGTACCAGGCCACGGACTCTGCTGGACCGGTACGTATTGTAGCGCTATGTTCGCACTTTCATGGAGCTTTGGATGTTCATACATCACGCTTACCATTTTACATACGTTTCTCAATCGTTTAATGTTACTGTGTGCTCCCGGGACTGTGGGGTCGTACGTTTATCGGTACTAATCAATGGTAAATTAGTTTTTTTTTGAAATTTTTAATAGTTAACCTACGGTGATCTTCAGGCTGAGAAACGGTGAATTAAGACCTTCTTCAAATATCCATAGACCACTTTACAGAACCAGCTAATACTCTGATACTGCATAAAACCTCGACCTTTTTGTAGCAAAAGTATTTGAAGAAGGTTTCCATGGATGTCTCACATTCAGATTCATTCATACCATTAGATAAGGATCACTTTTAGTACCTACATATCAGTGTTATTTATACGTGTACCAAATTACATGTGACAAAGTTGTAGATAACTTTGAAACTGCGAAGCTTTATCACCTTAAAATAAAATCAATACTAATTCTACACCACACGATTCGTATTTTCAAAGAGTATTTACAATAGCTCTTTTGTCCGTACCTGTAAGGGTCATTTTTGTTTAGCATTACATTAACACGTATTTATACTGTTTTCTTGTTCAGCCCGCTGACTTAGGTTTCGGCCTACGTAACATGGACTCAACGCAACCAGCCAGTTGCGACAGGGCAGCAGTAAGACTAATAGATACATGCACGCATTACAGATACTGCACGAGTCTTACTAAAACAATACACTATACTAACAAAGAATATTATTATCTGTAGCACGTCACGTCAAACATTCATGGGAATTAACAGCACATATTGATACTTATTATATTTACTACATAAAAGGTACAAGGGGCAATTCGATTGTCAAATACAAAAACAATTTTCTATTAACTTTTTTATGGAGAGTATTAAATACTTTTTGGTCGCACGTTGACAATTATTATGATTCGAGTATAAATGTAGTGTTGTGTCGTGCATGAATTTACTTTTACTTTATCGCTTTGTTTGGTTTCTTTTAATATCTAGAGAGGCCGCATGGTAGTTAAGTGGGCTAATGGCGCGAAGGAAGTGATTATGCCTTGGGAACTAAACGGTATCGAAGTATGTTAATATTTTACTATATTTTTATATAAGTACACTTATTTACCACTCACATGCATGAAATACATAGCATTGTGCATATAACCACACGTCCATGCATGTATTTGGTGAATGTTCTGTATTAAGTATTAATTTAATAACCCTTTGAGTGTTTCTTGGATAAATGTGTTTAACAATTTTTATACTTACTCTAACTTTTCTTGTTTATTATAACAGTTTTGGGTCTAACTTTTGTACTAACTAATTTAAATCTTAGTTTGTTTGGAAAATAATTATTAATATCAGCATTTAAAGACTCATTTATCCAAGTGTCACTGTGTAAAGTACCAATATCTGAATATTTTCTTTTCTACGATATTAATACAGGTGGTATCAAAAATCTTTTTCTATTAAAACCACTTACCCTTATATCCTTTTTAACAAAATGTAACATTCACTATTGATGCCAACTGTAGTTGTTTGTAGTTCTGTATTATACAAAGACACTATTTCAGTATATGTACATACATTGAGTTTGATAATTGAATTTAATTTGAGTGAATTTAACTAAATTATACAGTATAATTCTAAAAATGTTTAAGCCGAATATTGTTTGAATTTAGCTAAATTCGATACAAATATTATTATGTGTATTTATATATCTTATGTTTTTATTATAATACTGCATAAATAACATGCTTCCACCCTTGCTACCAGGATACACCTCGAGACCGCGGTGAAGGTTCCACGGGACAAAAAGCCCGTCTCGCTAGATTGTGGGGCGCAGTTGACTCCAAACTACTGAAGCCACTGCTTACTCACGCTCGACCGCCGCTCACCGAGACTCTACCAGCATTCATGAGACCTCTGGCTAGAGTGCTCACTACCACTCATCAATACACGCAAGGGGTCAGTGTTTAATTGTTACTTTATGAGATAGGTACACGAGCAGACGGATCACCTGATGGTAAGCAATCGGCGTCGCCCATGGCCACTCGGAACATCAGAGGCGTTACAAGTGCGAATTAGGAATTTGAGGATTGTTGGTTTTGCAGGGTGAATAGCTATTCACCCTGCAAAACCAACAACACTGCCTCATTGATCGAATACTTATTATTAAACAAGATCTCAAGATCGATCTTCCTTGTCGGAAAAAAGGATTTTTGCGGTTGTAACCATAACATTTCCAGTTATGTTTTGATACACAACTTGACCTGGCGAATTCTAATCCTTTCGATCAACAAAGCAATCAAATTCACACCTTTGTTGTCTTTTTTATACTTTATTTATGCTGCATCGTGCCTGGTGCTGAATAAATGTTTTTTCTTTCTTTCTTTAAATATTTTTTCCTACAATAAGCTTTTACTCTCACAGGATAACTCGCTGCGTAGAACCGACTCAGACTCAGACCTATGCATCGACGAACAACACCCCATCCCTACAAGTATTGACCCACAGGTAAACTTCCCGCTGTGACGTCATCACCCCCATGACGTCAGCTGTGACTTTTGACAAGCTTACAGTATAACATAGGCATGTCTTTATTTGCGATATCGTCAAGTGATACCTTCTTTAAATTGATGCGTTTTAATAAAGTGATTATTCCTTTGATATTGTTGGATTTGTACAAACTGTGGATAACATAATATAATTTTATTCTGTTATATTTTTGAGTTCTGTATTCATAATTCTTATTATATTTATTATATATGTATACCGTATACATATTTGTTTATATTTCATGTATTTTCTTTTTTGGTTGCAGCTATCGATTAACGTTCGGAATGGATATGGGCATGTTTGAGCTTTGTAGCGTTAGTGATCCACGGCTGTGATATATAATTTGCTCTAATAGCATATAGTAAAATTTATAATTAATAGGAAATTCCTTTTTAATTATTGCACGCAGCAAATATGGCCAGGACTAGTGGACACGAGGATTTCTGTGGAAGGTATTACTGGTAGTAACATCTGAATTTGTATTGAATACTATTGTAAAATTGAGTGCCACAAATTTTATATTATTATAATGAAGTTTCTGCGCAAATTGAGATTTTAACTGTTTATAAATTACACTTTCGACACGCGTAGTCATGTTACCTACATATATGTTCAACGGATTCTTTGCCTTATCTGAGGCCTTAGTACGAGTTGGTTTTTCGTTAAAAGTAATCGAGACCGCGTTCGATGCTCTGATTGGTTGGATCATTGGAGCCGGCCAATCACAGTGTCGAATGGGTATAACCGAAGCGAAGACTATAAACAGTTAAAATGTTAGTAAGTTAGTGTTGTTATGGCCAGTGTGTGCTTAAATCGTAATGTTTACACGAAATCACTATCTGGATTTATAATGAATTTGTATTTTAATGTGATAATGATGAGAGGTGAGCATAAGATCTGATCATACACTAATTAAGAATTCATGGCTGCAATGCAATTAATTATAAAGTTGTAGATTCGGGAGTCGTGTACTAAGCACTCCTGATTTAGATAATGCAGTTAATTTTAATTGTAGTTATATTATTTCTTTCTTGTTAGACAAAAAATCTCGTTTCGAACTTTTCGTCCGCGTGGTATTAGCACGTTCCTTAAATGTAGCAATAGCTTTATTTTGTATCACCAAAATTATGTATGTACACTCAACTTGAAAAAGTATAACACGTTAGCTGTGTTAGCGTGAGCGCAATAGTTAGTTGCCTTTTTTACGAACTCTTCTATTAAAACCTTTTCATGTTAAACGATCTAGTCTACTATTATGTACCTACTTACTGATTATAATAAAACGAATATCGTGCTTGTTTTAGGACATTTGATTTCGATCTTTATGTTGACCATCAAATGGAAGATTTATTTTAAGTTGCTGGGAAAGGGTAGTTAGTGTGTTCCAATCGACTTGTTATTTTACTTATGCGTCCATGATTGTTATTATGAAATTATTACTCATAGAATGGTTTTTAAAACCTCATCCTTATTTTGTAATGTTAGATTTATTATGAATTAAAGAGATTCTCAGTTTTCAGCTTCAAAAGGATGTTTGCATCGAGTTTTTTTCAAAAACTATTTTACCCTTGTATCTTCAAATATTGCAGATGCTACTTTTAGTAGTTTGTATTCATAGATAGTATTTTCGCTACGCATTAATACCTCATTATAGCAGTACTTTTAGTAACAAAAAACGTATGGACCTTTTGTAACTGTACATTCAACTCTGCATTTCATCTTTATAAAAAATATATTTTTTCTATAACATCTTTCATACCGCTTTTAATGTCTCATATCATAATATTATGTATTACATAGACATAGTATTTTACTGATTAATAATTTGATCTCAAATTGTCAGGATTAAAATGGCTAGAAAATAGTATTTTTCAAAATTTTATACAAGTGTCCTCATCAGTTGTTTTTTGTGTAAAATTAATCTGCTTGGTTTTAAAAACTTGGCAAATTGAATTTCTTTATGTGTATTAAAACTCTGAACTTTACTAATTGACTTTTATTTAATTTTGATTTAATCGATAACATAACATCATTGCGGCACTTAATGCCACTGTGCAATTATTTAATCTATGTACCTATTGACTGCTGAACTTTTACTAAACATTTTTAAGGAAGCAGGACTAATAAATAAAATATCATTATAGGCCTTAATGTCATAATTTTATTGATTATTTTAAACTTATCTAAACGATAAAATCATTTTCATTTTATAACACATTTACGAGTGACTAGGACCAATTTGTTTTCTTAGAGTTTGTCGTATATGGTCTGTGACCTGAAACTGTGGTCCATGACCGGGTACGATCCAGTCTGCCAAATTGGCTACCTTTGACCTGTTACGCATTTGACGTACTGGATCCTCACTGCCTGCTTCCATCCATAAATTCGGATTTTGTATATCATCAAATTTTTCAAATAGATCTCCTGAAACAAATATACAGACAATATTTATAATGGAACAATGTATAGAACTGTTATATATGTTATTTAATCAAACGAAATATCAGTAAAAGAGAGAAGGCTATCGACACACGCCTTTAGTCACATTCAATTGTTTTACAAAATCCGCGGGCTCCGCCACGCACATAGATAAACTATCACCATAGACTATATATGACCATAGAGTATACCACAGATACACAACAATCCCTCCCCTTATTAAATACACTAATAGATAAATACAACTGAATCTTAAAAGAACTGCTTGTAATCAACCCTGGGTATGTCCCGCAACAGTTTGCTGGAACATCTCATATCTTGGGGAGAAGGTGAGGATGACAATTCCACCTCGTTCCTTATAATTATATTGAGAGGTTTTCTGTCCAGTTTTCGCATTGTACTTACCGACTATAGCTATTGTTGCACCACCAATGGCTTTGACAAGCACAGTGACATCGGAGAGTGTATGACCTGGAGTAGGTATTACTCTCACATTGTCATCGATTCTAAGCTCCTCTCCTGAAACAGGTAAGCAATGAACAGTTTTTTATGTATCCCAGATCAAATTAAAAGACATCACAATACAATTTCTATTATCATTCAGTGGCTGTCAAGAAATCAATAAAAAGGTCCCAATACACTGCTTACCTTTATCAAAAGGATGCATGTGGTATTCATCATTGAAAGATACACTGAAGCCAACAATATGTTTTGCCAACAAGAAGAGATTGTTGTTGCCAATGTGATCTGAATGTCCATGAGTAGAAATTACATAATTTATGTTTTCGGGGCTTACATTATTCTTTGCTAAAGCTGCAACAAAAAAAAAAGATGAAAAAAATCTTACAAAAACAAAATATATAATAGGTACCTACATAGATATGTGTGTGTGTGTGTTTCTTATTTACCAGCTAAAATTTTTTGGCCATCCCAAGAAGTCATAGTGTCTATTATAATATTGTTAGCTCCTTTTATTAATGTACAACTACAATTAGCTGACATTTGGTCTTTCCCGGTCATTACCGAATATCCCTCGTACAAAACTATAACTTCACTCATTTTTGGCAAAGTGGTTTCGATATTTTTTTAAAATAATAGTATAGTTTTAATATAAATTTCATACAAGAAATGTAAATAGACGATTTTTACTAATTCAATTTGTATAAATAAAGGTCAACAGAACTAGAAAATAGGAATAAAACAGTAAACAAATTAAGCTCTGTTTACATTACACTCCTTTCGGATTGATTCACAAAACTGAGTATTTTACTGTCAGTGTCAATGTCAAATTATATACTCCGAATTTCTTACTTATATTAGATCATTTACATAAAAATATTCAGTACTAATATTTCTCGCAAATAATACAAAACTTGTGACATAACGAATATTAAAATTCGTATTTTAGATTACAATCGATCGATTAAAAAATCCATCTAAAATAGTGAACGCAGCCTTAATGTCAACGTTGACATTTTATTCATTTCGTTCAGAATTTCAATATTAAAGTCTTAATTTTTCAATTTTTATTTATTGAAAGTCTAATATTCTTTCAATTTTTAGGCAGGACTATCGCAGAAACTTAACAAAAATAATCATATTATGTTGAAATTAACAGAAACATACTGATAAAATATCAAAAATGTACAAAAATAGTTAAATAATTTTGATGAATATCCAATTTCATTTTAACTGGACAAAACAAAATTTCTAAACTTTAGTCTCATCTATCCCTGTCTCCCTCCTCAGCTGTCTTTGCCGGTTATTTTTAGGTTAAATTCTAAAATAAATTGAAGAAAGCTGCGGTGGTACATACTCTTGTACGTAGGTTATTTTAAAATTTTAACCTGCGCCAAGCATTTCTTTATTCATGAAAATTGCGCATTTGGATAATTGCGGTACTCGTGACATTTATATGCAAATTCATTGTATGTTCATTGTTTACTCAGGGTTATGAAACAATAAAGTGGATCTCTGTCGCCCCGAGAGCGCCAGTCTTTGTGAGCCATGTCAGGGGACGTGCAGCCAAGGAAACGTAAAGATAAAAAGAGGAAGAAAGGTAAGAAACTGGGAATACAACGTTGAGATGTGATGTGCATACTAATGATATTCTAATGGGTTTTATTTTGCGTTTTAGATGAGCTAGGTGTAGATGAAGGCCCTCGTGGCACGGCCGCAGCGCTTGGTGAAGGCGACGTGTTTATGCATTCTCCCAATGACCATGGCACTGGAGGACACTGGTGTGCCAAGATCATATTCTTTTCATTGCTCGCTGTACTTGTAACTCTAATTGGACTGATCATACTGGAGAACAGAGGTCTTTCGGAATGTTAGTATGTTGTCTTAATTTTGATGAAATGTTTTAAGTACCTAAATGTTTAAACTTACTGAGTATTTGTTAAAATTGAAGTGCTTAAATTCACTAGGACTCTATTAAATATTATTAACATAATAGTTAGTCTATAAAACTTTGTTTTATAATTTTTCTTATTAGAACAATGTTTACTTTATTTCAATATACTGAACATAACCACTCTATGTATTAAACATTAACATAACAAACTGATCTAAAATATTTAACATTAATTTACAGTAGAAGCAAATTCAGTAGAGTCTCGATATTCAGGAGTTCTCGAAGGTTGGTTGGAGGATGCACCTGATGATGATCACCATGACGAACATACTCTGGAACTGAAACATCATGTAAGTTTTTAACAAAGGATAAAGCTAATAAATTCAATTTAGTTACAGCAAAATATCATTTCTTAAATATAGTTTATAGTTGACAGTTCAAACAATATATTTTCTGTGGTGATCATAAGATTTCAAGTTGCTACAAAAGATAAGTAAGTTCCTAATTGTTCTAAATTCTCACTTACTCATCATAGCAATATTTTAGTTTTTACTACTTTTTACATTAAGCTTGTAACCTAGGATGATGATGATGATGAAGATCATGATGATCAAAGTCAAGAACTAGATCATGATGATGAAGATGAGGACCATGATGATGAAGATGAGGACCATGATGATGAAGATGAGGACCATGATGACGATGACGAAGAAGGCGAAGATCATGATGATGAAGCCGAGGATCATGGTGATGATGAAGCTGATGATCATGATAATGACGAAGGCGACGATGATAATACACATGAAGATGACGACGACGATGAACAAAAAGTTGCAGAAAGCGATGAAGATGGTGATGATCACGATGTAGACGATCATGATGCTGATAGTGACGATGATGGCGAAAACGAAGGTGATGACCATTCCGCTGACGACGACGACGACGATGACGATGATGATGATAATGATGATCAACAAGACCAAGACAGTGCTGAACAGGATTCAAATAAATCTATTGAGGTGAATTTTGAATCATTACCTATGTTACTGTAATGGTTTAAAATCAAACTATTGTATTTAATACTGTTAACAGGATGACGATGATGTTAAGGAAAATATTGAAGAAAGTAGTGAAGATAATGATAATGACGACCTACAGAAAGTAGATGAAAACGAAACGGCAGAAGATAATGATGATGATGATGACCAAAATGATGATAGAAATGATAGTTTAGAGAACAATGATGCTGATGGTGATGATGAAAGCAATGAAAATGAACAAGATGACAAAGAATCACGTGAAAACGAGGTGCACAGTGTGATGCTTGACAACAATAAAATAATTTTTGATTTGATTGGCACTAACAATTTAAAAATAAAGCTTCTTTTTCAAAATTTTAAACAGGAATCGACTGCGTTTTTGTAATATTAGTTTATTGTAACAAAATAACAATGAGTTTGTGTAACTTGAGTAGGACGAATTTACGGCTTATGACTATAATTTTAACATTGTTTATGTGCGAATACTGAAATATAAAGAATTTTATACTTATTTGTTTGTTGTTGTATATCTTTGAAAGCTTTTGAATGAATTTTTAACTGTGCTCTGTGAGGAGTTGCTCATGTTATGACTATTTGAACACGGTTTTTTTACCACAGAATAAATAGACGTATTAGACATTTGTCTTAATATGTATAGCCTAAAAAACATCTTGGCTATCGGATTACGATTTTTAACGCTTTTGTCTACATCTCTAATCTAGTACTTTGATGTGTAGACTTATTGTTGTTTTTTATAGATAAAAATTAACTTTAATTGTATTAGAAAAAGGTTACTATTTAAATAATATTGCAGGATGAAGAAGAACACGAGGAGGAAGAAGACGATTCAGGAGTTGAAGTAGAGAGGCTAGAGAAAGAAGTTTCTGATGAAGATGCTTTGTCTGAAGAATCACCTGCGGCTGACGCCGAAGACGATAATAAGGATGATGGTAAGCTAAATTCGTCTCTATTCTCATTCGAAATTGCTAAAACATACCTAGTGGTTTCCAATAACTCCTGCGCGATCATAGAGGATGAGCGTAGTTGGGTTATTACTTTTACAGCATACTTTACGATTGGCGTAGTGTCTAGGCAACTAGCTGCTGCGCAACACCTCAAATAAAAGGAATTCCAAGTAGTCTGCAATGTTGACCATATAATTTCATCTCACTTTAAGTCTAAGTCAAAATCATTTATTCCAATTACACCAGGAAGGCACTTTTGAACGTCAAAACAAAATATTTAAATATTAAATAATAAGAAAAAATGTCAGTCTGTAGGTCAATCCTCTAGTGAAGCTATTTTCCAAAGTGTAGATTCCTATGGAAAAGAACAAGCAAGAAACTCCATAGGTTACTCTTTTAATCATGTTCACAATACAATTTTTGGTTACATTCTTTTGTTGAGTTCAATTATGTGAGAACAATGTAATACCAATATTTGGTCAAGGAGACGGAAAAAGAAAATAACCTTGAGGACAACAAATTTAATACAGTCTGGAGCTGACCAGTCCCATTTGTCAGCGCCCGTTCACGAACATGACACGTACACCAGCACCGCCCAACTCAACCATGTTGTAGGGAATCGAGCGATCCACTGCCCGTGCCACTGCCAATGAGACTTGCGTGAGCATGACAACTCCAAGCTGACTGTACTACATCTGTATGTCAAAAAATACTAGAATTCTATTTGTTTGCAGAAGCTTCGAAAGAAGTGGCTTCCGAAGATGACGACGGAGCTGATGACGATGGTGACGATGACGGTGTTTCTGAAGATGAAGAGTTTTTAGAGGCAGCCGACATTGAAGAGGAACTGCCTGTTGTAGAACATATCGTGGCGCCCAAAGGAAAACCTTTAGTTGAGGTAATTTCTTCTTAAACGTTGTTTATGGTCAACATATTTATTTAAACTAGGTCTAAGAGTCTACACTGTTTTTGCTATAGGTGCTTTGAGTGCTTCCGACCTGAATTTTTTCATAAATCTTATCAACTTTGGCAAATTTTTTGTTGTTTATTTCTCTTCCACTTGAGTTCCAAATTATCTTAACCTCTGAGCCATAAATCCCATAATTTAAAGAAAATCTATATATATAAAAGAAAGTCGTGTTAGTTACACTATTTATAACTCAAGAATGGCTAAATCGATTTGGATGAAAATTGGTGGACAGGTAGCTTAGAACCAGGAGACGGACATAGGATACTTTTTACCCAATTCTTTTTTTTTACTTTTTATCGAAAATCAAGAACGGGAACGGGAAATATCGGGATTGCGCGTACGAAGTCGCGGGCAGAAGCTAGTATTTAATAAATTCTCCTGTTATTCAGGTTGAAGAAGAACCATCAACTGCAAAGCCAGTAGACACGCTCGCAGAAGAAGAAGAATATGAGAAACAACAAGAAGAATTGAGAAAGGAGCAGGAACAAGCTTCTCACAGTAAGTTCTTACACTATTTTTATAACCTTGCATGCATTGTCCATCATTTGCTTTTTCATAATGGCTTTCAATTGCTGCAATAAACTGGCCAGTTTTAAACAAACTAACACATTAATCCTCCTTTCACATTCGAACTTCATTTCTTTTAACACCGGTTTTGGGTTTAATTTAAAAAAAAATAACATTAGTTCTAACTTTATCTAATATTTGAAATGATCTGATTTCATAAACTTTGTAAAAATAAATGTTTGGTTAAAATTTGTTTCTTTTATTTCAACCCATTTTGCTTTAATTGTGCTATGTTTAAGATTTCATTTATATTTCTCACATCTACATACATAAACGGACTTTTAAAAAACTGTATTATCTTTATCTTCGGTTTGTAGCATTTTGTGTTGTATTATTGCTTTAAATCCTAAATGTATCGAACATTCATCTTTAAAGTCACTGAAATCTATGTTAAAATACTTTATCAAAATTTGTCTCGGTTTATGTGCGTTAAAAATACGTCTTCAAAATTATCTAACACATGAAAACCAAAAGAAAAATTCTTTTCACTTTTATTTCCAATACACATTTGTGTCTACTGCATATTTCCACAGACCATACATTGCATCTATTTATCACTACCATTTATATTTTCATCGAATTGATATTGTATAGTTTGACCACTATTCATAATATTTTTCTGACATTCGATTGTAGCATTAGTCATGTAATTCATGCGTTACGAGCTATAAAGCCAATTCTGCAATAACAATCTTTTTTTCCATCGTTATAAGGTAACTTTAACTGTCTTTACTTTAGAATCTTATTTTCATTTAATCTATGTAATATTGCAACTATAGTTTGAATTACCTGAAAAATATATATTTAAATAAATATATTTACGTACAGTACCCAAGTTCAAACACACGAAGCTGTCACTTTATTTTATAGCTGACTACGAAAAAGGATTTTAAAATATGTCCCTGCAGACTGGTTACTCGCGACTGCCATAAATGCCAACCTTATATACCTTATCGAAGGTAGAAGATCGGATTTCGGATTCCATTAACTGGCAGGGGCGGTCACGAGTAGTCCATGGGCCTAGTAGCGACAGCACGCGTGTTTGTGGGCAGTGCTCGTGGGTGTGGGGTAACGCTCGTGCCGCGTGTGTTGCAGTGTGGCTGAAGCTGGTGGTGGGTGGCGCGCTGCTCGTCGCCACTCACGCGGTCGTGCGCCGCGCCACTGCCCCGCGCGGTGCGTACTATACTACTATACTCAAATATTATAAGCCTTAACGTGTATGGTTTTACCCATAGCTAGAAAATTAGCATCCTTAATATTTGACCAATCAAGTAAAATAAATTTAACAATATTGATTTGTAACTGTACTTAGTTACAAAGTCCGAAAGACTATTTTCAAATAGTGAAGTTATTTATTTCGTCCTGGGTAGTAACAAACAAATTAGAACAACTATCAAAAGAATTGGGACATCTATTAGTTAGTCTATTAAAATCCGATCGTTATTACTTGGCACTGCTCCAGTAATGTTCACCTATGGTTATATTTGACAAGTGTTCCAAATTAACAGCAATTTGAGACGAATACTTATATAGTGCCTATATACTCTTGTAGACTGAGAACTTAGCATGGTACCTTTTTACTGAAGTAGTGGATGGAGCTACTCAATATTTTGACAGCTAGTAGAAGATTGGACAATGATAGATAGTGAAATGTAATTTTGGTAACAGATGATACACCAGCAAGTGACGAGCACGGTAGTAGGGAGGAAACACCAGTCATAGACCGACGAATGACGCTCATTGCTGAAGAAGCAGCCGCAGATGGTAGGAAACATTTGCAAAACACAATTTTCTAAGCCACCACTTATTCCACGTATCTTTTTTTAATTACTTATTTTACGTCCTTCAGCTGTGCCAAGTGAAGTTGTTGAAGAAATTGAAGTACCAGTTGAAAAAATTATCGAAAAGGTTTCCTCTGTTCTTAAAGCTCCTCAGAAACAAGAAAGCGAAGAAGAAGAGGTAGAGGAAGAAGAAGAAAACGAGGATGAAATTGAAGAAACTAAGGTAAGGACCAGTGATGTACAAAATACCCAATACAAAGTATCTGGAATACAAAATGCAAGATACTTTAAAATTAAGTATTTCAGATACCAGATACAAAATACTATTGACATTGGTATCTGAAATACTAGATACAAGATAGGTATCTTTAAAATACTTTTTAAAGATAAAATACTTTTCTAGGAAAATAACACCTGAATGAATTCAAATTTCCTTATTTTAAAGGTGAATGCTCACGGAGTATAAAAAAACCCAGGTTTGGCGCAAATGAAACTTATCTCAGATTTTGTGTGATCTTAATAAATGCTACATCAGGAGCATCATCGAAATCGATGGCTAAATGCAAGAAATTGTTGTGTTATTGGCTCATTTCTTTTCGTTTGCGCCAATGTTCGGTTCTGTAGAGCATTGTCCTTTATAAATGTGAGCTTAGAATCTGATCACATTTCATTTTTATTGACGAAAAGAATTCTAAAAGTATCTTATCCGAAAAAGTATTTGTCAGATACTAAGATACAGAACGAATGTATTTAAATACAAGATATAAAATGGAATTTTAAAAAAGTATTTCAAATACAAGATTGAAATACGTATTTTGTATCTTGTATCTGTATTTCAGATACTTGTATCTTAAATAATTCACATCTCTGGTAAGGACTCGCCAATATTGTAACCGTAATTTTGTTGACAAACATACTTTATATTAAGAAAATTACCCGCAGGATGTAGTTCAGAAAGAGTCGACAAAGGATAAAGAATTGTACAGCGACGAAGAAGTTGAAGAAGAGGAGGAGGAAGAGAAAGAAGTACAAGAGAAGAATGTGAAAGCTGTAGGACCTGAACCTCTGAAACAAACCGTACCCACGCCTTGGAAGGAACCAGAGCCAGAGGCGGACGAAGAAGTACCTGATGACGTAGAAATAATTGACGACGAACAACTTGAAGAAGAATTGGAGGAAGAGGATGAAGAGGAAGAGATATCTGACGTGGATGATGCAGAACTACTCAGTCGGCTCGAAGCTAAATACGGACGGCTGCCAGAACCGGAACGACCCGGACAAAAACACAGTAAACACGACTGTCTGCGTGTGACCGCTTGCTCGTGTAGACTCGCTGTTGGCTTCATCATTCTAACCAATTAACACTCCCTGGCATGACTAACAGTAACGTGAGTGGATTGAACTCTTCATATTAAGTTACCTTTTATGTGTCATCGGTGTTTTCTTTTCTTGTTTTTTTTTAATAGCTACACTATTCAGATTCTGTCCCGAATATAATAAGATTGTGATTTTAGATCCCTAAAAAACTCGAAACAAAGTCATCGAATCCAGTTAATATTTTTTTTTTCTACTTCTAAACAGAATAATAATAAAATAATAAACAGATTTGGTTTAAGACACTGCATTCTCCATTTACAGAGGATGGTGGGAACAGTATAGAAGATGATTGGCCAGGAGAGCCAAGCGACCAGTACTGGCGCCAGCAACTCGACCAAGCTGAAGAAGAATTGCGCCAGGTGAGTGATCTATCAAATTAAAATATATTATTTTCTGATAAATATGGAATACTTCTGTAATGGAAATTGTCTCTTAATTTACAAATCATAATCTTTTAATTCTTTGTTTGTTTTAAAGAAAAGTGTGTAGTCTATTCTCTTTAGCGGTTGGTGTATTCTCGTACCTACTATATTGAGTGATTTTTATTTGTGGATCATTAAACTGCATGAAGTGTTTTTTTAATTAACAAACATGTACAAGGTTTGAACTTTCTCTAAGCTTTCCGCTTCCCAGCTTTACGTAACATCATATCGAATACACCAACAGCACTTCATTAAAATTGAATCTACTTATTATAAAGTTCTCATTGAACAAATTTAAATCAATTTCCAGGAGTGGCTCGACTAACTTATATATTTTATTTTTTGCATCCAAAATTCGCATCCGTCATACTTTGCTCGTTGTGCCATTTTCCTATCGACTCGTCGAAGGATATGTCGGGTTGCTTCTCACGCCCGCACCCTGCGTGGGCCGCCCCCGACTTCCCTCGACGACATCGTCTCCCCCTAGAGTAGGACCAGTTTCTCGTCTACCCTTGTTGCAAATACGAAGAGGAAAGCAAGTCTGTTGAAACTAATAGAGAAGAATATTTTTGTTGATGCTTTCCACTTCATTGTGACATGGATAAAGCGAGTGTTGTGTGTGAAGAGTGTGTGTGAGTGTATTGTGTACTAACGTACGAGGGCGAGTGGAGCGCGGCCAGTAAGCGCGCGGGCGCGACGCAGCTGGCCGGCAGTGCGCGCGCGCGCTGGCTGCTGGCGCGGGCCGCCGACGCCGAGGCCGAGGCGCGCCGCGACAACAGACTGCTCACGCGAGCCATCACCGCCTACCTCGACCTGCTCAAGATGAACGAACGCCTCACTGACCACAAGCTACTGCAGGTCGCTCATCGAACACTTGACAGAATCCGATTCAGAGGTAACTCTAATATTTGACTAAAACCACTGATATTATTTCAGATTTCATTAAGAATTTCTTGACTAATCACTGAATGTGTAATACTTGCAGGCAATTATCTGAGTGCTGAACCTGTCTACAGGCTTCTTATTCGCCGGTTTCCTGATGTTCCTGGTTACTACAACAACTTAACAATATCCTTCCTTATGGCTAACAGGTGATTGGATCGTCGAGCATAGATAGTTTATAAATATACATCAGTAGATTTCGACCTGAAAGTTACAAAAATATTTCACTTCTTTCAGGGCTGATCTTGCAGAACAAGTTTTAAAAGACACTCTTAAAAAGTGGCCTGATGATCGAGTAGCTTTAGCTCACCATGGCTTCGTACTGAAAACTCGACATAACCGCCTAGAAGAGGCTGTGGAGGCCTTTCAAAAAGCTTTACAGAACGACACGGGTCCCGCAACCGAATCTCGATTCTATTACCATCTAGGAGACTCACTTCTCTTATTGGGCCGATACGCAGAAGCCCATGAAGTCCATAAACGAGGAGCTGCTATGGGACACTTTTTGTCTCCTTCACAACGTTCACTATATAACGTTAATCGTCTAATAAGCCGTCCATGGTGGAATATAGAGCAGACTCCTTATACAAAACTGGCTCGCGCTCTTGAAAGATCATGGAAAGAAATTTTGAAGGAGGGAGAAGCAGCTAAAGCTTTGTATGAAAAAGAGAAGGAGGGTTTAAAGGAGCGAGGCGAATGGTCGCAATTAGACTTGTTTGTTAGAGGCCAAGAAATTCCCAATAGGTGTAAACGTGCGCCAGTCACGTGTTCGATCGTACGCTCAGAAGTCGCTGCGTCGGGCTGTCGCCGTGGGCAGGTCAAGTTTAGTGCTATGGAGGCGGGCACCCACGTGCGACCTCACGTCGGGCCTACTAACTGCCGGTTAAGAATGCACTTAGGTCTCAGTAATACCAAAGATACTTACATTAGAGTGGATAAAGAAACGAGGTAATTGACCAACACTACTCTATTTAGTGTATTATGGTTATTGTTACTAATTTCTTTATAAATATTTGTTTTGATTGTTCACAGACAGTGGCAAGTAGGAAAGACGTTCATGTTTGATGATAGTTTCGAGCATGAGGTGTGGCACAATGGCACGGGGACCCGTTTGGTTCTAATCGTGGACGTGTGGCATCCTGACCTTACGCCTGCCGAGCGACGCTCCCTGCCGCCCATTTAGCACCACGTACCGTAGTGCAAACCTTTACTATACCCATATCAATTAGAAAACGCGACTTAATCAACTGCAGCGCGAATAATTTCATGTAAGAATGTACCAAACTGATTAAGACTAATACTTTGAAAGTAAATAAAGAAACTAGTCAATTTACACCAATACTTAGCGTTGCATTTAAGGCGAAGTTTGCCTCGCCTATGTATTATTCAATTTCTCTTCTAGAATCTCTTTGTCTTGTACAAAACTATATGAATCAGTAATGAACGGTCGATTATTAAAATTATTTGCATTTGATCAAATACCACTAACAACTGCATCATACTCCATACCTTTTATCAACATAATTATAGTCAACTAATGTTTTAATATATTTTTCTGTATATAGTTGGCAATTTAACAAATTTACTAAAAAACGGAAAAAACATTAGTTGACTAAAATTACGTAAACCAGTATTTACTAGTGTACCTTGTGATATATTTTTGCGATCTTATATATTTTTTTTCTGTTAAGATTAATGTTAAGAATAAAATTTCAATGCTCGATATAAAATGTCTTTTAATATTTTCACCAATAGTCCAAATAGAGGTATACTAATGTAATAATAAAATACAATACTTCCTTCGTAGGTGTATATTTGGTATAAAAGTTACCAGACCATCTGGTTCAAATATAACCCTATAACTTATTAGCTTAACCTAATAAAGCTCGTTGTAATCTAATTATTTGCTAGGTACAAGATTGGTCCATAGTTACATCAAATATGATTTAAATCTTATGTCGAAATACTCAAACGCTACTCAATCTTAAGTCGCGCTTAGTATAGTTCTGTCAATACAAATTGTAAAATGACAAAGATGACACGATATTTGTATATACAATATAGTACGTACAATTAAAATTGAGTAGCCTTTCAGTATTCGGGAGTTAGCTACACAAATTCGATCTTCAGATGTTACAAAAGTAATCACGATATTCTTGTTTACACTAAACTGGACGGATGTGTAATACGTAAATTTCAATTACAATGAATAAGGTAGTTCCTTATTAGGAATTTAATGAATGAAATTTTTAACACTATTCTATATACTGTTGAGACACTATAAAACTTTCGTAAGGAATGTTTGCCACTGGAATTTTAGAGAGACAACCTTTATCTACAGGCTTCACAAATATTCGTTGTGCACATAATTATTATATATAAATAAGTACGTCACTGAGCAAAAACTTTACACATACATAGGCATTATAACATCATTGAGCTAGTGAAAAACCTGTACTCAGATCTTTAATACAATATTATTATTATTGTAAGTAACCTATTTCTGGCAGAAACTTAACACTAAGAGTTCCATTAAAGCTAACATCTTGATAAAATAATAACAATGACTTAAAATATACTCGCCTAAACCCAAAGTAAATCATTTCGAAACAACTTCAAAACTAGAGTAATTCGTATAAAATCACATTCACGTTTCGTAACATACATTTCATACATTTATAAACACCACTTGATGGCAATTATTTTCGATTCTTAAAAATAAATCAGATCTTAAAAATAATATTTAAGGCTCCGCCTCCACTTCACTACTGGAAAAACATCACATAAGTAAATTAAAATTTGAAATGTGTGTTATATCCAGAAATGGTGCAAATAGGCCACACATGTTTCAATTTCAACTTGTAAATAACATCACTGCAATAAGGCACTTAAGTACTTTGCAAGTTTTTACTATATTATGGTCCTACATTCATATTATAATGATCATTAGCCGCCTGGTACGCGGGCGGACCGGGGGCCTGTGGCGTGGCTCGGGCACTGTAAGGCGGCGCTGGAGGTGGCGGCGTCTGCCACGCACCATCGCCGTATGCTCCACCATACACATATGACGGAGACTCGCAAGGCGTTATATTGTCTGCTCTATTGTCGTAAGTCGGAGCGGCATCGTAACTTCGTTCAATATTATCGTAAGACGGAATGTTTGATTCATATTTCCTCTGTGGATTTGGCTCGTTGTATGGGCCAACTACATCGTAACCTGACTTCATACTGCTACGTCCAATGGTATTATATCTATTATTAGTAACTATAGGAACAGATTCGACGGGAGGCGGTGGATCATTGTAAGCATCGTCCACACAAGGAAAGTTTTCCCTTTCTGGAGCATGATATGAAACGGGGCGAGCCGCATGGAAATTGGAATATGAGGAGTGTGCTGATGTGGGACGCGACGCTCTCGATTCACGAGGTAATGAAGCATTTGATGATAAATACCCAGCGTTTCTGTATGAACGACGTGATCTACGGACTGACGAGTTGTTTCCACGAGAACCTGATCGACGCTTGACTCGTCGCGGAGTCATTGGTTTCATTGAAGTTTCACTGATGTTTGTTTCAGTTGGGCTCAGTTCTATTGTGTACACTGGACGACGGGATATGGTCCCTTTATCTGTAAAGATATTATGGTCATCATTGTCTCTTAATTATCATTATTACACATAATATGTTGATATAATTTTAATTCTACTTTTTAGACTTTACCTGCTGCTGGTTTTTGTTTCTTAAAAGATCTGAATGACAGTACTACAGCTAAGGGTAATGCAGTGGCCGCCAGGGTAGCAGCAACAGCTGACTGTCCCAGTTCTACATGATCCCACTGCATAAAGCAGCCCTCTACTCTTGTGGGCCTCCATGTGCCCGGTCCATCCACTTCGTCCCAAACTGGTTGACAGCCCCAACCATTGCTTTCCCACCAACTAACACTGCCTGTACCCAGTGATAATAAACCACTGTCCTGCAAATGTTAACATACACATCACATCTGGACTATTCATGAAACAATAAATCTGAAATGGATTTACAATGGTCTTCTATTTATTGTGAGAACTAATCTGATTGGTTACATTTTTAGAGGAGTCATCAACGTCAAAGTAGCATTTATTTCAATTAAACCATAATTTGGTACTTTTGTAACATCAACAAATACAAAATAAATAATAGTCTGTCAGTCAGTCCATCAGTGAAACTAGGTGAAGCTAGGTGCTCATGCCAAAATGTAGATTCGAATGGAGAAGAACTAGCAAAAACCTCCATTAATTACTCTTATTCAAAAAGTATGTTCTACAATGTCTCTAAAAAACGTTACATTTATTGAGTATATATTTATTCCCAAGTCAAAATCTTCATACTACCTTTCAAATTCAGAAATTGTTTCCTTAAACTCAGTAATTGAAACCTTAGTAGGAGTGTGCAATAATATTTTTCTTCTAGAAGCACATTAATTTTAGGAAGAAAACATATACAATAATAACATTTTTTAAATGAGACAATAACTATATTGAAGACATACCCTGTTCAAAGTGCCCAGATTCAGGTAATAACAAATTAAGAATATGTTCCACACCAGCCACATAAAACTCCAGATGGCATACTGCAAAAGAATACAATGTTCTTTATTATGTATTGTCTATTGCAAATAGTAAACCCAATACAATGTTAATGAAAATAAACAATCTGTCAATCGTTATTTACTTTGTAAATATGCCAGCAACACGAAAAATATTGTTGCTGAAGGTGTAAATTAAATCGTTTCTAATAATTACTGTCTAACAATTTCTGATAATATGAATAAACTTCATTATAAGCAAGTATCCAAAAATTCATTGAAAAGAAGTGAAAAATAATATTTAAATCAATAAACAACTTTCCAATAAAAGGTATCTAGTATTTAAACTGAATAGTACTTATGTAACAGATTGTTGATACACATGGTGAAAGCAAAACTAAGTAGGTCACTATAGCATCACATGTTACTCCCACATTCCATTGTTAACTTACTGCTAAAAGATATTTCGTTATGTACTGAACCGCCCCAAATGATCCAAATATAATCAACAGGATATTTGTAAAGTTTGCTATAATTGGCAGCCACATATAACCCAGGAAATCAAAAACTTGCCGCTGCACTGTGATAATCTGTAACAACAATAGCAATCAAAATACCAATTAGACTCATTCTCTAAGAAAGTGATTCATAATAATGCTTAGGTCATTGGAATCTGCAAACTATGAAGTACCTACTGAGGTCATCAATCCCTAGACTGACTAGGTCTACGCTTTTTAGCCCTTTGCAAATGAAATGTTCTATCACAAGAATAATGTTATTAGACAATGAAACTCATGTAACTTCGGACTATATTCAAGTTCAATCTACTTGTTTCAAACAAAAACATACCAATTCCAAAATACAGACGATCAACAATAACGTCCTTAGTCCACAAACAGCCATTTCGGTAATTATTGACTGAACAGTATACAACTTTTATAATTATTTATAAAATTTACGAATACATTTTATAATCTTACTTATTAACACATTTCAATTCAACAAATTAATATAACATTATTTATTTCGTTTGATCTTGTGTATGACCAACTGTCCACCAAAGAGAATAAAAAAGTGTGGTACCTGTGGTACTCATTTTCAGTTGTCAAATAAGTACTGTCAAATGATTAACAAATTATTACGGTTTGATCGAGTTGACTCGACTAATAATTTGAATGCAAATTAGGAGTAATTTTTTTTTAATATCTCATACCTAGGTGCATCACATTTTAAATGAAAAAAAACCCGCTTTTCACTAGCATGAATGTGTTTCTAAGTACATGTTATGCGTTACTAATGGATAAATCCGTGAATTACAATCGATTTTCAGACGATCTGATGATATAAAAAGCTCTATATAGTCGAGTCTAGTATAAAAAATTAGTTGATTTCCTTCTTGGCATCTCTATGTTAGTAATCACGATTTGTATTGATCGGGGTTTACTCATCATAATTTGAATTTTGTCGAATACAGTACACAGAGGACTCCAAGTCTCTGTCTGCCTTATTTATTTATATCTTTACTGTGAGAGCCTGTAACTGGTAAGTACAATTGAATAATTTTATAACATTCACAAATCATCCGTTGGTTAGATATCCCTAAAACACCGGTAACCTCTCTTCATAATTATTTTCAGAAAAGAATCGCAATGGCGACTGAAACTTTAATCCCATTAGAATCCAACCCTGAGGTTATGAATAAGTTTCTTCAAAAGTTAGGAGTCCCTAGTCAATGGAGTATCGTCGATGTCATGGGTCTTGAACCAGAGATGTTATCCTGGGTTCCTCGCCCTGTACTCTCGGTTATGCTTCTCTTTCCTATAAGTGATGCTTATGAAGAACATAAACAAAAAGAAGAAAGCGATATTCTGTCCAAAGGTCAAGAAGTTTCTAGCAACATTTTCTACATGAAACAGTTCATAAGTAATGCATGTGGCACTGTTGCTCTTGTGCATAGTGTTGCTAATAATACTGATAAAATAGAGCTGGCTGATGGCCACTTGAAGAAGTTCCTAGATGAAGCCAAAGATATGGATGCTCCCGCTAGAGGGAAATTATTAGAAAAGTCTGAGGGAATTATTCAAGGTCATAAGGAATTGGCCCTAGAGGGCCAAACTAATACCCCCAGTGCTGAAGAGCCTGTGAATCATCACTTCATTACTTTTGTACACAAGGATGGCTTTTTGTATGAATTGGATGGACGTAAAGCTTTCCCCGTTAATCATGGGCCTACTACTCCCGATTCTCTCCTAGAAGATGCTGCTAAGGTGTGCCAGGGCTTTATGGCTCGTGATCCTAATGAAGTCCGTTTTACGGTGATTGCTCTGGCTGCTTCCGACTAATGTGCCACTCTGTAGATTGGAGTAACACTACAGCAATATGCAAGCTGCAGTTATAATGGAGCCATGCTTTTATATCGAAGCTTAATATATTCTCATGTTTGATACAAAAAGGTGCAATGCAAGCTTTTGTGATACTATAAAGTATTTATTTTGAAATAGATGTCTTAATAAATTTGTCAATAAAATAATAACTTTTTTTATTCATCCTGATAACTCAGTAACTTTATTCACAAATTGAATTTGTATTATGAGAATCATGTCCTACACACTTGTCTTGTGATTAAAAATAACTTTGTGTAATTTGGCTGAAATACCAAATGATACACTTTATAAACAAAGATATAAAAAAAATCTAGATATTTCTCCAGAACAAATTCACCTTCAAACGACTTGCTCTAGGATAAATCGGGCGAGCATGTACATTGCGGTATTTGTTTTATGTTGATACTTTGTAGGTATTCATAATTTGCGCAGCGTCTCGCGTCGCTGAACATAAGCTTCAAGGCTTGTCGTTGACTTAAGTAGCAGTAAAGATATATTATCGCCATCACGTGTCATAACTTGCTACTTATTTTTGTAAAATTATTTTTGGTCTGGGAAGAAGTAAATGAAATTAATAATTATAATGTTCTAAAAAAATATTTTTGAATATTGGTTCACGTTAATTATGTGGGCCGAAATAGGTACATACATACATAATATATTTATCAGTATTTATATGTAACGTTTCTATTTATTTCAAAAGAACAAAGTTTTTCAAATTTCACCCTTCGTTGATAGTTCAAGTTACCATGGCGCTCGCTGGCGCCAATTCAATTACTCTTTATTTATTCACTTCAACCAACTCGAGGACTAGCTAAGTAAATATTAACTCAGAATTTGAGTTATTTATTCGGTAATCGACTCCCAGTTGTCGAATAAACCCGTTTCATCGTAGAAATATCTTATTCTATACGTTATGTATGTAGGTACTGTTGTCTGATAAAATTATATTGCGCCATATTCAAAAGAGACTTCTTTTTATTGCAGAAAGTGGAATTGCGCATACGGCTATTCAACCAATGTAACAGTTGGAAAATTTATGACAAAATAATAAATACGCTTTCCAGACTAAAATCACGACCTTGAGTACCCTATTGAAGGACGAGCTTTGATCTTGGAAGGTCAAGTCCTTCATAATAGGGCAATGTCGTAAAGTTCAGACGTCTAGAGAAATACGGTCTATTCAAGTGCAGACAAGGTCGTCTCTATTTAGTACATAGATAAAATTAGATTCTTGATTGCCCTTGCTGGCCACTCTGGTATGAAATCACAAGGGAATCATTGTATTTTGTCTTTTACCTAACTTTTATATAGAACTTATTTCATCACACGTCGGTCGTCACACGGCGCGGCCAGTTGCCAGTTTTCTGAAGAAGCTGGGAGTCGAGCCGGCCTATTCGAGTTTGCGCCGAAGCACACAGCCGGGTTTCACACGAGAACACTCACTTTCTATAATTAGAGATAGAGTTTTTTGATATTCGGCTGTGAACGTCAAGACCTCCTTTATATGTTCTGTGGTCAAGACGTTGGACAAAAAGCGGTTAAGTGTAGGTAGGTTTTCGGTTTTCGATTCTCAGATGTACCTACGTCTGCAAATATACTTTTATTTAAGGGGTCGAACGAGACTTTACGCTATCTTGCTTGAGCGGCCCAGAATTTCCGGTTATTCCCGCTCGTCACCCCAAGCTTTGTCCCCTCCGGTGACAAGTGGGAATTATATTGAAAAAAAATCCCATATGTCACCCCCAGGTGACGAATGGGATTCCACTTAGAAATCATCCCAGTCGTCACCGCTAATAAAAGCTTGCTAAAACCATAGTTTTACATTGCGAATGGAAATTTGTTTTTGAACTAAATAATACAATAAAATTAGACAGCCAAAACTTTTTATTTGCTTTTATTTTCAAAATCAGGTTCTAAACGTTTTACATTCAACACAAAAGTATTAACAACAGTCTTTGCATATTATCACAAATCAACACTATTTACATAATTGACTAGGCTACATTCATTGGTTCAGTTTGAAAGTAATCACCATAGCGTTACAAAATATAAAAAAAATAATATTAAAAAAATCTTATTTTTTTAATTTTTAAACCAATGAATGTAGCCTAGTCAATTATGTAAATAGTGTTGATCTGTGATAATAAGAATTATTTAAAGTTAGTATAGATACATTTTAAGATTTTTTTAATATTATTTTTTTTATATTTTGTAACGCTATGGTGATTACTTTCAAACTGAACCAATGAATGTAGCCTAGTCAATTATGTAAATAGTGTTGATTTGTGATAATATGCAAAGACTGTTGTTAATACTTTTGTGTTGAATGTAAAACGTTTAGAACCTGATTTTGAAAATAAAAGCAAATAAAAAGTTTTGGCTGTCTAATTTTATTGTATTATTTAGTTCAAAAACAAATTTCCATTCGCAATGTAAAACTATGGTTTTAGCAAGCTTTTATTAGCGGTGACGACTGGGATGATTTCTAAGTGGAATCCCATTCGTCACCTGGGGGTGACATATGGGATTTTTTTTCAATATAATTCCCACTTGTCACCGGAGGGGACAAAGCTTGGGGTGACGAGCGGGAATAACCGAGAATTTCAAGCTTTTCCGCAGCGACGCCATTGCAATTTAACTAGGCTACCATTTTTAAAATCTGTTAGCTATTCGTATTATTTATGTATAAGCAACATTCATTTCATTTGAGAAGCATAATAAAATTAATGTGTGTGGTAAATAAAACAGAAATTATGCAAAATTGAAATGTATTATTTGAAAATATCATGAAAGAGGCAAATATTATTCAGAATTATTTAGGAATACATTAATAATTTAATTTATAATTTATTAAGTTAGATACCTTGTGTAATAAATAGTCAATAATTATATGTCATATTTTAAAAGCCTAACCTACTAAAACGTTCACAAATAGACAAATATAAAACTTTTATTGCATTCATTTTTTATATCTTTACACTGTAGCACCTACATTACGTTTAACAACAACAGTCAATATAAAGATTTTCACATACTATATAAAATTCATTAAAATGTCGAATTATCACAACAGTGCCTACTTAAGTAACTGGAATGTATAAATATTAATTTGAGCTACAATTTCCTTTATCCCTCACACAGCAGTTACTTGAGGTCTCTACCTAAGTATCATTGGTACTTATGCTGCGGAATGGTTAAATTGAATACTAATATAATATCACACCCGTAACAATAATATGAAAGAGAACATTAAAAAAGAAGATTCTTTTGTAACTGTCAACTGGAGTTACGGTCAATAATTATAATTATTAAATGTAAAGTCGATCGAGTCATTTGATATATAGGTAAGAAAATAAAAATTGTTATACTAAATTGATATACTTATTAACTAAATCAAATCCTTTATAACTATTGATCAACCTGATAACCAACCAATGTTTACCTACTGGTTCTGTATGAAATCAATTTTATTTTCTTACCTGCATACTAAATAACTTGGCTGTTTGCGCATAATTGTATACAACAAATAAAATAGAACTTATTACGAAGCTGCTGACATGTTCATGATTAATGCTCTAACTTGCCTATAATTAGTCTAATTGTATCTAAATAATATTCTTCAAATCCTTTCTATCAGCGCTGGTTCCTGTTCTTCAGTGTTTACGTCGGAATTATTAATTGAGGATTCTCCTGAAATGTAAAAAATATATTTTAGGAATAGAACTAATTTAATTTGAAATGTTAATCTAAGCTAATAAGTAGTTATTAGGTTCTGACCGTCATACTGTCCAGGGTTAAAAAATAATGACTGTTCTAAGGCTTCTAATACTCATACACATTGTCAGCCTGAATTATGGTAATTAGTACTTATAACATAATATCACGCCTTTTATCCCCGAAGGGGTAGGCAGAGGTGCACACTACGGCACTGAATGCCAATGTACAATGTAACACCCTCTTTTCACTATTTATGTTATAAATCTCATGTAATGGGGGGTGGGCCTATTGCCATATACCGGGCACAATTCCAAACACCGTGCATTTCTCAGATTTAAAAAAATTGACTATAAGTCAAAATTATTATGTACTTACTGTAAGAATTATAAATTAAGCGCCGGTTTCACTACCTCCACATAAGTACCTGATAAACTTATGTGAAAAATAGTTTATACAAATTACGTTCTTAGTTCAAATTTATCTGGTAGATAACGGCTATCCAGATATTGTGAAACAGACCCTTAGTGTATTTATTATTTATTTATTTATTTCTTCTTCACAAAATAAGGTGAATGGCGGACTTAATGCCTTAAGGCATTCTCTTACAGTCAACCATAGGGAAGTGCAGAGAAATGAAGTGGTTGACGCGAAGACAGACAACAATAAAAAAAAAGGTTATGTAATATGTATACTACACACATAAATACCTATAGAATAAATATATTAATACAATATTTTATAAATAGACAAATACATACCATATAATATATACTACTAAACAAATACTTATACTGCATAAATACTACAATATATTATATAAAAAAAAAAGAGAACGTTGTTAGAATAGTTTCCTCAATTGTTTTGAGTTTGCCAATGCTTAAGTAGATGCTCACGGACTTTAAATTTAAAGGTATTGCGACTTGTTGCCATTCTGATCTCCTTGGGCAACGCATTCCATAGAATAACAGCTTGAATGAAAAAGGAAGAATGAAAGAAGTCAGTGCGATGAGAGATACATTGAAGATGTCGGTTTTGAGACGAACGAAGAAATTTTGTGTGGTTTGCGCACGTATATTGAAAGTAAGAAGCAAGGTAAGTAGGTGAAGAAGGAGAGTCAAGATAAGAGAATAAAGTGGTTAATGCCCTCTGCTGCCTGCGCAAGCGTATGGGCAGCCACTTCAGTTGCATCCTATGTGCAGAAATATGATCATATTTACGTAAGTTGAAAACGAATCGAATGCAGTTATTTAGAAGTCGGTCTAACTTATTGAGTAGATCTGCATTCAGGTCGTAATAACAGACATCAGCGTAATCAATAATTGGGAAAATCAAGGTCTGCACAAGCTGCGTCTTCACAGAGGACGGAAGAAAGTTCCTCAGACGATACAGAGCCCGCAACGATCCAGTCACCCTTTGGCAAACACTTGTGACCTGAGCACGCCAGCTCAATGTACTATCAATAATCAGGCCCAGGTCCTTCACGTCCCGACTGAACGGAACAGTCACACCATTATACGAGATAGGGGGCAGTGCTGCACCGTCAATCGATCCAAGATTCCGAGAGCTACCTATGATGATGGCCTGGCACTTGTTTGGGTTTACAGCTATGCCAAACCTCTCTGACCAATTTTGAACAGCTGTTAGATCACTATTAAGTTTACTGATAGCACTGGGCAGATCGTCCACCACAGACTGACGGTACAGCTGCAAGTCGTCCGCATACAAATGGTACGCACACTGAAGTTCAGGAGTGATAAGGTTGATAAAAATAGAGAAAAGAAGTGGAGAAAGGATGCCGCCCTGAGGAACGCCTGCCGTCAAGTCACACCAGTCAGAGAACTTCTCATCATACTGGACAGACTGCTGACGCTCCCGAAGGTATGAAGAGAACCATTCCAGTGATTTGCCAGAGATCGCAAGATGGGATAGGATTGCCAAAAGGATATCGTGACTGACCATATTAAACGCGTTAGAAAAATCAACCAATACCAAAAGTGTTACTTTGGTATCCTCCATACCAGCCCTAACATCGCCAGTCACTTTAAGGAGGGAAGTTATAGTGCTGTGGCCAGGTCGAAACCCAGATTGCACTTAGTGTACTTAGTAAGTACAATGTTATACAATCATGCTCTCTATTAATTAATTTCGAAAACGATTGCTCAGTACTGTCTGTCTGTCAGGAAGTCTGTCAGGTAATTAATTAAATAGATCTATTCATAAAAAACTTACCACTAACTAGTAAGGCATCAGATCGGAATTTAGGTAACAGTAGTGTGAGTATCAGTCCCGCAATCGCTGCTATACCACACACCCACACCAACGCATTCGCATAGTACGCAGGGTCAGCTCCATCGGCACTGAAAATATTAAAATAGTTATCAGAATATGCGGGATTAATCACAACTTTTTTTTTATTCCAAGGAAAAAATTGTGTTACTACGAGTATGATCTAGTTTTATAATGATAAGCAAATCATTTTTAAATGTTTTACTAAGTAGTAGTAGTATAACTAAGAATAAGTATTAAATCCATTATCACTATTCTTATTTTTAACCGACATCCCAAAAAGAGGATTTTCTCAATTCGTCTGTAGGTTTTTTTTGATAATACTAACTCATTATTTTCAGCAGTTTTACGAAGATAATAATGATATATTAACTGTATAGGTTTCGTCCTTTTTAATCATCTGTCGACACAAAAAATAATGAAATGACCATCAAAATATGCGGGACTTATCATAACTGCACTAACAATATGCAACTGCATCGTTAATTCAAAGAAAAACAATTAAAAATATAATGTTAGTTGCCTACAAGCAGCGATTAATTAAATTAAGTAAGTAGTTACCTATTGAGGTTTAGATTTTTATTACTCCATTTCATATAAACGTCGAAAGCCGTGCGATTATAAGGAAAAATATACAAAATTTGAGAGATAAATAATGACTACAGATTTTTTCCTTATTCAACTTGAGAGCAGATTTATATTCTTAAAAACTAGTTCCTGCTGTTGATTTACCTCGCATTTCCAGGAAAAAAAGTATTAGTTTAGTAAATTTTGTGTGAATAAGTACTAACATCCATACATTCTTGTATACTTTCATAATTATCTCTAATATTAGTAGCAATAGGATTTGATAACTTACAAATTTTTCCTTATTATTCAACATTCCATGTCAGTAAATTAAATAGGTACATTAATTAACTTGTAAAAGCTAAATCAATGCTTATTTACTAAGTATAGTTATATTTAATTGTAATGCAATAGTTTTCGCCGTCAGTAAACGATAAGAGAATAAATACATTTATAATAATAGTTATTTAGATCTGATACCCTCATTACCTTTATACCGGTCAGTAGTGATGTGGCCTTATCTTAGCAAAATCTATCAATAGATAGGAATTAATTAGCTGTGATATCTATATATGTGACTCAATCCATGTATTTTGATAATATCAATATAATGATATTATAAGGTAGGTATTTCCCGTTAATCAAATATTATATTCCAATAGATGCAATTATTTAATGAGTGTATGTTTCAATTTAAGTTGATATACTTTTTTATTTCCTGGCTGGTTGGGGAGAGTACACAAACACTTCTTATGGCGAATCTGGTTCGATTCGCCATAAGAAGTGTTTATGATATTCTCACTAGTAACACATAGGTAAGGTAACCAATGTATAGCAGGTTCACCCCTAAATAGGTGAACTAAAACATAACTGATGTCAAGATGATATATTTCGCCTGTACGCCTGTGCTTACCCGTTGGGGGAACATTATGTCAGCTAAGTTATGTGAATAATTAATTGACAATATTAGTGTCCAGCTGCTGGTATGAATCATCGGTGAACTCACTAGGCTTGTATAATCGCAATGGCGACGCCGCACGCGAGCTTATCAGTGAAACTCATGAGGCCGTATACAAAGGCAGAAGCTTCCGTCCTAGCGCCAACCAGGTCAGCCGTCAGAGCTAGACTTGTCACCAACATCACTGCACCACCAAAACCTGACAACGAACAAAATATTGAATACAATATAGGAGCCTTCTTTTATAATTATTGTGACCTCCATTACACAGAATTCAAGTGACTAATACTAGAACAATAAATGTTATTACAAAATTAAACAGTTCATTGAACAACTATGTTATTCAGTAACAGCTTACATATTTTAAACAAACTTGCAGGGTAAAGAACAAGCTTCTAATATTTAAAACATTTCATGACAAATAATGTAGGGAATGACTAAACAAAAGACAAAATGTTACACAAAGAGAAAGAGGTTCATTATGTGGGTAGGTAGTTACATTTATGGAAGTAGGATTAGGATACTAACCTATTAACACAGCAACCACATAAATGAAATACACTTTATAATCATCATCTGATCCAAGATAAATCCACACAAAACCAGCAATAGCACATGCGGAACCGGTCAAATAATTAAGTTTTCTCGTGAAGGACCTTGGTGCCAACCTCTGGACTCCAGCAGCAGCCAGACTGCCCAGGTACAAGGCGAGAGGAACTACAGCTAGGGCTCGTGCAGCCAGCCCTAAAGTCCGATGGAGGTATAAGGGGATGAGCACCTGTGATATATTCACCACCAACCTTGTACACATGTAAACCCCTGCCACCTAGAAACAACATTGTTAACTAATAGATACATAATTCATTACATATCATTATTCATTAGCATTATTATCTACACTAAGTGTGCCAATTAGCTGATAACAAAGCAAATATATGTAGTGTTCTATTCGTTCCAATAACTGAATACAATAAACAATAAATCTGTCATACTTTACCTGATACATGTGTGGTTTGCGTAGAAAATCATAATGCGCACCACTTTCGCCTTCTAAAAGTTGATCACGACGTAAATAGTTATTTTTCTCAGTTACGGAGAAGTGAAATATTATTGATGCTAATGTTCCTAGTCCTAATACTATGTAGACAATATGCCTAAACTTCCAAGCGTCAGTAGGTCCCACTTGCTACAAAAAAAAATGTAATTACCAGCAATTCAATGATATAGGTAATAGAAAAAATAAATTGCATTTAAAATTTCAACATACATGTCTGTCACATTCCCCAGTCAAATGTAATATAATCCATGTTATGATATAAACAAATAGATTTGAGAATACTGTGAAACCATATCTGTAACAATTAAAACATGATTATTAGATTTCAGGAACATCTGTTCAATTATTTATTCATTTTAAACAAATCGTTGTGTACATGTATTGTGTTGGCTAAATATGTACTACATATGAAACATTTAGTGTAATGTATTTAAAAGAATTTCTTTTCTTACTTAAATAGTTTTTAATGATTTACCTGATTGCAGTCAGATGTGTCCTGGTATGGTCATCTTCCGACAACTCCGGGATTAAACTTAAATGGGATATCTGCACGGCAGCCCATCCTATTTGGAATATGATAATAAATGATGCATAATAATACATTTGAGCCCATTTGTGTGCCGATGTACATCCAATACATTCTGAGAATATGAACGGAAAAGATGCTAGAACACAGAAGGTACCTGAAAAAAAAAGAATAAGTAATTAAATTACATTAACATTAGAACTTAGTTTTACAGTACTTTTTTTAAATATGAATAATTACAGTTACTTATGACTTACCAAACAAATGCCACAGTTTCCGTCGACCATATTTTAAGCTTATGTGATTATCTGTATGGTCTGAATGGTAACCCACAAATGGTGTTGATACAGCATCCATAACTTGACCAATTAACATTAGAGTCCCTGACTGGGAAGCAGTAAACTCAAGCACTAAATGAAAATATACTAAGAAATATGTAAACCATAAACTTGCACAGACATCATTTAATACATGCCCAATGCCATAACCGAGCTGTAATCGCAAACTGGTAGATATGTGAACGAATTCCGAATCCATTTTATATTAGGAAAATTAGATATTTTATATAAAGGAAATTTAAATTATATATATAGTCCTTTATTTTTTTATACTCATTCACATTTCACTAGCGTTTTAACCGTTAACAAAAGAAGTCTATTATCCATTGCTGTCACGATCGTGACTTGTATAATTGAATATTTTTATTAGGATATTTATAAATATTACAATTTACTTTGTTTTCACTTCTAGCACACGCAAACAGTTTTAAAACAATCCCACCGCCTCGTTCTCGTCAAGTCGTCAATTAATGATTAGACGTTAATGTCAAACTTATGGAAATGTCAGATGTCAATTTATTTTTTAGATACTATTTGCCTTCTATTTGTCTATGCGTGTGTCGTAGACCCTTGAGATCATCATATTGGGGATAATTGTGTTTTATTAGTATTTAATATTTACCATATATCTTCATGTTTGGGAGTGTCCAAATGCTCGAAGAAGACAATCATGATGATTTAAGTCTATTTTATTTAAGTGCGCTTTTTCCATAGACTATGGAGGATACAAACTACGATACAAATTATTGACAATGACAATTCTCCAAGAAGTTCTAATATGAAAAAAATTATGTCAGTGTCAAATAAATGAAAATATAACCTATTCTAAGGTTGAAGAAAGGAATTTTAAATGGATTTTCTTCGTAGATTTTTGAGTTACTGTATTTTTTTTACTTTCTTCTTGTGCGTACGATGTGATGAATTCAGGGAGGAATTATTTTTCAAGCCCCTACCGTCGACGCATCTATACAGTTATTTTCAATTCGTTACTTTAGTGGACAGCGAAGTATCTTCATGTAATGATAAATAAATCTTGATAACATACATTTTATCTATCGGTCTTTGTTACATGAGTACAAATCTAATCCATTGTGTATTTTTCAGTCCATTCCCATTTAGCTCCCCGGTCTTTGGCTGAAGTTGTTTCTCGTTTTCAAGTCGAAGAGTTACATTTAACATTAACGGAAGGACAATGGAGACATCATCAATGGGGATATCCAGTTTTGGACGCGGCACCTGGAGCGGAACTCTATGCTTGGTTTTCACCTGATGTTACCGATGTGGATACACAGTGGAAAAAGCTGAGTGCTACACTATCTGGGCTCTTTTGCGCTTCACTTAATTTTATTGACAGCTTTAACACAGTCACGCCTCAGATGGCTTTGTGGCCCATGGGAGCAGTGAAATCTAGTCAAAATGTTACCTCTCAGTTGAGATATGCCTCGTTGCCCAGAGAGATTGTATGCACAGAGAATCTGACACCATGGAAAAAACTGTTACCATGTGAATCGAGTCGTGGGTTTTCTGCCCTGCTGAATTCTAGAATGATCCATAACACAAACTACCATTCAGTAGGAGTTCATGTGAGGAAAGTTTGTAAATCCAGTGACTGTTTGGAGACCCAGCTTGAATTTAAGCAAACAGTGGCTCTTATTTATGATTATGATATAATCAAGAGTAATGATTGGTCATTTAGAAAATTATTTGGTCAGGGTCTACCTGGAGCTTGTCCACTATCTACAGACAGCAAGATTTATGTTGATGTAACTTCTAACAGCACACAGCCATTTACTCTGTCTCCACCACCTGACAATATTATTTTGTCACAAAGAGGTAGAACTGACACCAAGTTGGCAGTGTACAATATACACCCTGATGGAAAAATGATAAACATAGGTGTGAAGCACAAGACTAAATCACAGATACCAGTGTCCATACATCCCCCTTTGTTTTTCAACCGCTATGTCCTAGGTTATGGCAAAGAGTTTGGTGGAATTGTAACAGAGATAACAAACAATTGTTTGGCCCCTATAAATGTGGTTGTATTGGAGAATGCTCCATGGTGGTTGCCAATACAACTGAGTACTCTGAGAGTGAATGGTGAAGCTGAAAGTAAATTAGTCCAGTCTCAGTACTATTCTCCTGGCCGCAGCAGGCAGAAGCCATATCACCTAGAGTTACTTATCAAATTACCTCCAAAGTCCACTACTACCATCACTATTGACTTTGAATTTGTCTTTTTGAAGTGGCAGGAATATCCGCCTGATGCTAATCATGGATTCTATATTGGTTCAGCATTGATCTCAGCTAATTTACCAACAGCCAGAAATTACACGAGTCTGCCAATTACTGGAACAACATTTGATTCTGTTATAAATGATACCAAGTTATGTGAGTATTTACTTGTGTTATTTAAAAGATAAAAGTTAAGATTATAATAGTAGTTATGACTTATAATGTGTACAAGTCACAAATAGTGTATTATATATTTATGTTATAACTGTGTTGTTAGTTGCACTATTTATAAATTGAACATTAAATATGACAATTTGCTTTGCATGTTCTTTGATGTTATGCCTTTGTGCCAATTGTCATTGATTCTTAAGTAATGCAAAGATCTAACCTGTTAGTAAGGATATACATAGAATGGAAACTTATGTGACATTTTCTTGTTTCAGGGTATCCCATTGTGTTCAGGACAAATGGTGCTATGGTTTCTCTGCCAACCCCAGACTTCAGCATGCCATACAATGTCATCTGCCTTGCCTGCACTGTAGTGGCATTGGCATTTGGTCCACTACATAATATTTGCACCAAAGAGCTGGTACTCAAACCATCAGGAACATCTTTGTCTTTAACCCAAAAACTCTTGAATTTATTCAAGAAAAAGAAAGATTAGTTATTATTTATTTTTGTTTCACTGAAAGTATTTAATTTAATTTAATATTTGACTGAATAAATTAATACAGTTTACTCTGTGATTTTATTGGATAGATAGCATTGGCATATTCCAAGCACAGCCCAGATTTCCTTGGGCCCTAGGAATCGAACGCGACGTCCCTAATTGCTTGGCAGGCGCATTTAAAAACTATATCCTTGAGGCTGTAGTTATTTAATTTTTTTATCGTGTGCTTACCACTACCACGCGGTAACTCCTTCCTCTCCTCCCAAAATAGAAATGAAGTCGGCAAATATCGGTCGACGAGTCCTAATTGTGATTGCAGTTTAAGTTAAGTTCAGACTGTCGGAAAAAGGTAAGGCGCAATTATAACAATAGCTAGGATACTCGTGGTTAGAAATATCTTATTGGCTTAAATTTTGGTAATTTTTGTTTTTTTTTTTTTTTGTTCATGCTATGTTACACACAGTGTCTTAGTTTTTACTGTTTTTCATGTCGAAGGACTGCAGGAAGAGCTTCCTACGGGAATATGTAGTGCCTACTATGTACCTCCATTTTATTTATATATGTATACTCCTGTGTACTGTCTGTGTGGTGTGCATAAATAAATAAAATAAAAATCTTTATAAAATATCGGCGGTCATGACCTATGCACATTTTCGTCTGTAGCATATACCTAGGTACAATCCCTTCATACACTACCTACTATTTAAGTGACCATCTAGATTTAAATGCAGCTGTGTATCGGTCTATTTTGTGTTAATTTTTTTATTTAGGTACCTTAGATTATGATTTAATTACCTACAAAGATTACAAAGATTTGGTCCATCATTTAATTTTCTTGACGAATGACGAATAATAATAATATGACAAGGACATTGAAAAAAAGGTAAGATGGTATTATATGATATTTTCGTGCTTGAAAAGACAGTACTTACGAATGTACTTCCCCTATAGGTACTTATTATACTATTTGGAATGTAGGAATCGTAGACATGGGCGTTCCATAGTCTGCCTACTGCCATGGGAGACAGGCGTGAGGTTAGTATAGTGTATATTATATTATAATAGACAGTACTTATCCCTCTACCTATAGGTAGAGGTACTTAATATACTCATTGTTACTGACATCGCTGTAAAAAAAATAATTTACTGTCAACTTGACAAGAGGAACCACTTTTATTTATTGTATCGTTTTTATATTTTGTACCTAGTTAAGTTTATATTTTAATAACGTTAATATTAAACAGTTATGGGAGTAACCGTAACGTAAGTATGATGAGTCATTTTACAATTATTTTATTACCTATTAATAAATTATGCTTACCTTACCTACCCTGTTAAAGAAATCAGCAGTTGTGTCCATCGTGTGCATGTCATCGCGATTGCCAAGGGTTTCAAAAGTTAGCAGAACTCAAAGATGCTGGTTTGGTGGTTTATTGTCACAATAAACGTACAAAAGATGTAAGTGATTATTTCGTTCATAATATTATCTATCTTACTTATCCTGGGCATAGTCGGTTGCCTTAATATTAATCGTGTTTTTGATGTATAAAATTAAGCATATTTTATTTAGGCACGTTAGTTTAGATCAGCTTTAAGAACAGATGAGTGGAAGGAGCGTAGGGAGCCCTTGCCCTACACTGGGACGACCATGGCTGTAAATAAAAAAAAAAATAATATGAATAGGTACCTACTGTGTACTTGTAGTTTGTAGGTATACAGTGTGTTAATAACCAGTTGTTAAAATTTATATCCATGATTTATATCGAAAATTTCTAAGAAATGTATACTTCAGTATTTTTTTTATATTTGCCAACAGGCTAGACCAGACAGCACGGCTGAACAAGCTGATACATCTAAGAACGTGTTTATTTTACACAACACGAAAGATGTGAAATTAAAATCTTCCGATTTAAAATCAGAACTCGGTAGGTAAATGTTATAATATAATAATATTAAAACGATTTTTAGTGCATAAACCATGGGTACAATATATTTTTTTAAGGACTTCTTTGTCTACGTGTGACCATCTTTCGCTAGATAATTATGATGAATATACCCAAGTCGAATATTGATTCCTGGCAGATAGCTGACTGCACGGTTGGCACTGTGCCTGGGTAAACACTACAACGTGTTGTGGGCCTTGTGGGTATGCTTCCAATGTCAGGGAAAAAGAGGATTTTTCTGATGAATATGACCACTATTAGGTTAACTGAAATTAGAATTCAATTCGATCGCAAGGATTAATTTTATTATCTATTGTTTCCAGAAAGAAAAGACGTATGCTGCCCACGATGTAGGAAAGCCTACCAGCATGTTCAAAAACTCATACAAAAAGTGACCTCCATAGACAGGAAAAAAGTGATGGGCCTATGCGACCATTGTCGTAAAAAAGCTGAAAAAAATAACAAAACATGTTCTACGTGTGAAGAGATTGTGAAGAAATTCATATCAGTTAAGGGTCAACAAAAAGAAGACACAAAACAGTTTATTAAAATATGGCTTTCAAAGATGGGTGTTTATTTTAAAGAGCCTATAAAATTTGACCAATCATTACTCGACGAAATAGCTCCAGGTTCTAAAGACACTGGTGAATCTCATGACGTAAACCTTGATCAGTTGGCTCGAAAATCGTCTATGCCGAAACGTGAGCCGGAAGTTCAAGAAATGTTTATTTCAGAAGCACATAAGTCAGATTCAGAATCAAATATAGATACCAATTTACATAAACGTCCTAAATTAGTACAATTAGTAGATAATAATCGACCTACGGTATCGAGCGACATCTCTTTATTTCATAAACCTCACGAAGGAGAAGTAGAAGTTTCAAAACCTGTATTCATTCAGTCAGATGCGACTTTTGTGGAACCATATTCAAATGTCAATGAACAAATTAAAAGTTCATTAAAAGAAAAAGAGGAACCCAAGTCTTTAGGACGTTATGATGATACGTTAATAGATGCTAAAGAAGCAATTAAAAAGAGACATGATATCAGCTTGAGACAGATGACACAAACTGAAAAGGAACTGCCATCGAAAAGACCGCAAGTAAATGAAATTCCGAAAGTAGCACCATGGGAAAAAGATTATGATTCGAAATATTACGGCGAATCTGAAACAGATATAAAAATTAAAAAGGCTTATGTCATTCGCAGTCAAGAATCTTTATCGGTAAAAGGTATTAAATATGAAGCACCAAAACCCTCACAAAAAGATTTACGAGATCGTCATGGCCTAGGTAAACATGGTGACCATAAAATAAAAAAGGCTACTCAGGATTTTGACTCAAGTACTCAAGCATTGACCGACGAAGACGTATTACAAACAATTAATGATAGAGTTAAATCAAAACATCGAGTACTTAAGCATAAAACCGGACATAAAAAATCACTTGGACCTAAAAGAACTGCAGAAGATATTACTAAAACACAATTTAGTTTCTTTTTCCCAAAAGTACCACAGAAAGAAAAAAAACCAGAAATTGACATTCATTCATCACATCTAATTGAACTTACCCAAGAAAAGTTCCGTCTACAAGCTGAAAAAGAGGACAAAAAAAGACGAATGAGAGAAGAAAGGAAAAAGCGTGCCCAAACTCAGAAAGAAATCTCGGCAATGACTGGTGGAAAAATGGCAAGACATGAATATGAGAGAGATCTTGATCGCTCAAAAGATGAAAAGTTTACGAAAGCTAAGGCTATGGAGGAGATGGAGACAAGAAAAATATCTGGGACAGTACAAACCAAAGATAAAAAAGTTGAAGAACTAGAAAAAATTAAAAGAGATGTAAAAGTAGAACTTGAACACAAATATGGAATTGATGAACAATCCGGAAAAACCAAACGGGACTTGGGGTTCAAACCGGAACAGGTAGGTAGGACTGATGAAATAAGTGAGAAAAGAAAAAGAGATGGCCAATCAAAATTTGAAACCGACAAACTAAGTGAGAAAGCCAAGAAAGACATAAAATCAAAACCAGATAAAAAGTTTGCAATTGGTGAAGGTGATGAGAAATCCAAGAAAGACGTTAAGTTGAGACCTGAAGAGAGAGATGTATCCGGTAAAGGAAGTGAAAAAGCCAAGAGAGATACAAAATCAAAACCAGGTGAAAAGTTTGCAACTGGAGAAGTTGGTGAGAAAGCCAAGAAAGATATAAAATCAAAACCAGGTGAAACGTTTGCAACTGGAGATGTTGGTGAGAAAGCCAAGAAAGATACAAAATCAAAACCAGGCGAAAAGTTTGCAGCTGGAGAAGTTGGTGAGAAAGCCTCGAAAGATACAAAATCAAAACCAGGCGAAAAGATGGCAACTGGAGAAGTTGGTGAGAAATCCACGAAAGACATAAAATCAAAACCAGGCGAAAAGATTGCAACTGGAGAAGTTAGTGAGAAAGCCACAAAAGATATAAAATCAAAACCAGGCGAAAAGATTGCAACTGGAGAACTTAGTGAGAAAGCCTCGAAAGATACAAAATCAAAACCAGGCGAAAAGATGGCAACTGGAGAAGTTGGTGAGAAAGCCAAGAAAGATACAAAATTAAAACCAGGCGAAAAGATTGCAACTGGAGAAGTTGGTGAGAAAGCCACGAAAGATATAAAATTAAAACCAGGCGAAAAGATTGCAACTGGAGAAGTTGGTGAGAAAGCCACGAAAGATACAAAATCAAAACCAGGCGAAAAGTTTACAATTGGAGAAGTTGGTGAGAAAGCCACGAAAGAAGTTAAGTCAAAACCCGAAGAAAAAGATGTATCTGATAAAGTAAGTGCGAAAGCTAAAAAAGATATAAAGGAACGTAAGGATCAATTAGGTGGAATTGATGAAAAAGATGTGAAAATCAAGAAGGATACCATAAAAGCAAAACCAGAACAAGGAAAACTCGATGAATCGTTAGGAAAAGTGGAAAAAGGATTAAAGTCAACCCCCGAAAAACCAGTTAAAACCGATGAAGCAACCCAAACTAAAAAGGACTTTTTAAAAATATCTGAAGCAAAGAGAGAAGGTGAAACTAGCAAAGAGCAAGGAGTAGAAACAATTAAAAAGGGAACGAAAACAGGTGAACTAAAAGAAAAAGATGAATTAAAAATAAAAAAGGATATCAAGCAAAAAGCAGGAGAAAAAGATAGTACTCTACAAGAAACGATTAAAAAGGACTTGAAACATAAATCCGGTAAAAGAAGTAAAACAGATGTTGCAGATGCCAAAGATGAAACCGAAGTAAAATCAAAACAGGATCAAAAACTACAAACCGAAGAAGCCGATGTGCTTAAAAAAGACGGCACATCCAAATCAGACAAAGAACAAGCAAAAATTGATGCATTAACGCGAAAACAACTTGAGAAACAAGAACAAGAAGAAAAACTAAAAAGAGAAAAAGAAAAGAAAGAAGATCAAGAAAGGTTAAAATTAGTAGAACAGTTACATAAAGATAAAGCGTCAGCCAAAGTTCAAGCCGCAAAGGACGCAGCCAAGGAACAAACTAAAATGGAAGCGCAAGAACCAGGGAAAAAGAAAGGGAAAAAGGGAGCAACGTCTAAAAAATTAGAAGATGATACAAAAGGTTCTTTAAGCGACGTTGAGGTATTACAAAAATCACTTAAAGCTGACAAATCAATCGATACACAAAAACAATTAACAAAGAAAGAACTTTTAAAAATTGCTCAAGAGGAACAACTAGAAGCAAAGAAAGCAAAAGCTGCTGCTGCAGATGCTGCTCAATTTAGAAAACTACAAGAACAGCTTGTAAAAGAAAAAGATAAAGAGAGATTAAAAAGATTAGATGTAAATGCTATTTTCGGACGTGGAAAATCTGAAGGAAAACGAAAAATAAGTAAAACTATAAAAAAGCGAGTGCTAAAACCGTTCAACGTTTGGAAATCAGTTCGTATAAAACCAGGTATGACTCCGTCACAGAGAAGGCTGCCTAAGAATCTCGACCCTCTATTGATGAAGGCACACAGACGTCATCAAATAACCGGCCAAATGTGTCCATCATGTATACTTTGTTGTGACTCTGAATTGGAAATCGAGTTTGAAAGCTATTTAAATGAACTGAAAAGAAGGGAAAAGCATATTATTATTGGCGAAAGAATCTACAAAAATAAACAAATCGTTGAAAAAGAACATAAAGAACCAAAAAATGTTCCAATGCTTTTTCAAGCAGGATTTAATGATGAAAAAATCCAAGCAATAACTGATAAAGTTGCCCCAGAAGATAACCTAGACCCAGAATCAGCAAAACGGAGGATTGCTCCGACATCATCAAAAAGAAGTATTAAATCGGTAAGTTTTCATATCAATTATGTCACTTTGTAATTACGTACGTTTGTGTGGAATTCAGTGGAATTATGGCTTAGTTTACAGAAGACAAAATATTACACAAAGAAATATTAGGTATCTACTTTAATAAGTTGAAAAAGTATAATATACGGTCACTAAGCGAGTCTGAATGTCTGGGTGCTTACTCTTGAAACCACCAATCAATGTCAATGCAATTTTAATCCAATAAAATCTCAATAATTATTCAATTTCAAACCTATACAAACCCCTAATGTAGCTGTTAAAATAGCATTCAGAGTACGGAATATAAAGCCAAACTCAATACCATTTAGTTCATTCAATATCCACGCAATACGGATGCAATGGGCGTTAGGTTTGCAACTAAAGAGTACGAAACTTCACAATACCAATGTCGATCGATCGGAATTGGATTCAAGAATAAACCCCTGGTAAAGGTAAAGGTACAGTTTGGGTAAAAGTTCCTTGGTCCGTTCACAGTTTACCTCTGACAATTGTCATTACATCTTTTCTGTACGTTTATGGACCACCCACCGAGGAATGGGCTGCATTTCATAAATGCATCGGTGACCCAATGATATTATCGGTGACCTAACTGAATCAAAACCGCCTGCCAACCGTGGGCATTATGGCAACCGTAGATATTTTATCAAACATCTGCAAAACATCCGTCATAGACTTCTAACCTACCAGTGGGTGGGTATTAACCTATCAATACAAATAATACTTATTTTTGCTTTTTAGTTTCGACTTTTTGTTTGTTATTAGTTTTTGGTTTTTTGAAGTCGGTTTTTTACACGCAGTTTGTATTTTATTATTTTTTCATTTTCAGTGTAAAACTAAATAGATCCATCCATTTTATCACTTTTAATCTACATAGGTGCAAAATTGTAATCAATACAAATTATACAAGCCCAAACACAAGGTAGTTACTACAAACCTTTGAAGAGTTCCCTTAACAATTACAGTTCTTCATCATCAATGACAGTCCCACTCTATTTAGGTGTAAAGTCCTCATTAATACAAATTAATCAAGCCCAAACACAAGGTAGTTTATATAAACCGTTGAGGAGTTCTATCCATCATCAGGTCGACTCCAGACCCTTATCAAATTGTAGTATTTAAAAATCCTAGTTGAAAAACATAATAGACGCATTACTCGCCCATACAATTTTCGAAAGTTCCCCTCGGTTTCCCTAGGATCCCATCATCAGATCCTGACCTCATGGAAATAGGACCATCTTGGGTGTACGCCCTTTCAAACAAAACAAGAATTTTGGAAATCGGTTCACAAATGGCGGAGTAATCGGCATAATCGGCGAACAAACAAAAAAAATAACAATTAGCCGGACATAGTACCTCCTCATTTTTTTGATGTCTGTAAAAAGAGGGTAATCGATTAAAATCTGGATTTTTTATAGAAGTAATTCAAAAGCCGATATCTTGACAACGGTCAAGTTTAGGATATGGGGTTCCTTAGTCAAATCGGTCAGGAACAATGCATACTACCACCTCTTAAAGGATTTACCTGTAACCTTGTATAAGCGTTCTCGAGGGTCATCACGAACCGTCTTGAGCGCAGGTTTAATGACTTCCAGCCTCCCGAACAAGCCGGGTTCTGGAAAGGCTTTAGCACCATAGACCACACTCATACGCTGCGGCAAGTTATACAGAAGGAGAAGGATATAACTTGCCACTATGCTTGGCGTTTGTGAACTATGAGAAAGCCCGAAGGCTTTCTTCGGTTTCGATCGAGACCTGGGCAGTGCTGCAGTCTCTCCAACGATGCCATGTGGACTACAGATATATTGAGGTGTTAAAGTGTTTGCATAGAAACGCCATCATGTGCATCCGACTCCAGGAAGAGAGCATGGAATCAATCCAATTGACAGAGAGACGTGGGAAACTGATCGTTTTGGAGAAATCCGTCGTCCTCGTCTAATAAGACGCACATTCACTTCAAGTTCAAGAGTGACCGCCACAGACATAAGGAAGCATGTGCGAGCTTGTATTCATGATAGAGAAGGTCACTTAGAACAGTTAGAACAAAATTTCTAGGGTGGCTAATAAATCATGGAAGTTTTTCTAATAGTTTGTACGCTTAGAGTAATATCAATTTTTTAAACTAAATGCAGTTTTCTTTTGGCCAAATTAGTGGCTCAAAACAAAATTTGAACTAATTGACTTGCTATTTTAAAACGAATAATATTTCTGTCAGTATTAGTAGGTACTTATTATTAAATGTTTGTTGATTTATATTGACAACAAATTAAAACTTTAATTCGAACTAGTGGTTTTTTAGTTATTGACGCTTTTGTAGTTCGATCGGAATTTTTTCACCAAAACCGAAAATGTTGAATATCTCAGAAACTAGCCACTTTCGGACCGAGTGAGTTTTATTTCGAGTTTTATTATCACCTCCCGATAGGAATACGTCGAATTACAAGTCACCCTGTATACTACATAAGTACTAGGTTACGATGGGTAGGCTTTATTTTATTATTGCCTTTAGCGTAAATACTCATTAGAACCTACTTCCATACAGGCCGTTTCTAAGTAGGAATTCTAATATTATTTGTTTCAAAATCTGACAGGAACATAACACTTATAAAAATGATTTTTATTTAATGGTATATTGAAGTTTTTACAAGTGTATTTGTATACGTATATTTTATAATCATTTAAATATTAGATACTTATTTAATTATTTTTGAAGTAAAAGAGTATTTTCTATTTTTAATAATGTCTAAAAAACCGGAACAAGTGAGTACGTGACCAACAGACATGATAGACATAGGCCTTTTAATGGTTTACATAATTAAACTATTACTTTTATTTTTTTATGTACCTTGATAGGAATAAAATAGGTACGATATATGTGAAACTAGAAAAAAATGCCTTAATTTTATAATTATACGTACGTACCTATTGGATAGAAAAGTGTCAACAAAATGTCTAAAAGAATTGAATTGTTAGAATTGTTGCTGTATTCCCTCGACTTAATTCTACTACGGTAACCTTATGAGACTTGTCTCCTTTTATTCCTGACTAGCCTCTGCCCTCGTTCCTGTAGCATCCATATCATATCCATATCCATTCCATACCATAATCTATTCGTGTTGCAAATTTCATCCCGACCCCTTCAATCGTTTTAACGTGGTTGAGTAACGAACGGGCGACCTGCTATAGGACCATGATCTATGGGATTACATGAAACAGCACGCCACGTCTGGGCGTCCGCGTCGTGAGCATCCCTATCGCGGCGCAGGGCCTTATGCCGGAATACTGAAACGTTACTCAATTTTAAGTCGTGCTTACTTAAGTGTAGTTCGGTCTCTACAAATTATTTGTGAAATTTATTTATTTATTTATTTATTTATGGATTGGAAAACCAACAGCTACACATAGCAAACAAACAGATAACATAATAACACCAGAAAGCCAATTACAGGTTTTCACGAATAGACTTCACATTATTCAATTAAAAAAAAAACACTCACAGTCCAAACAAATACATCGTTTAGGGAAAGAAAATAAAAAAAAACAAGAGCATAAATACCAACAATAAAAAACATAAAAAAATAAACACACCAACCATACTACCAAACTACGAAATGACAGAGATGGCACTATATTTGAGTACAACTTAAAATTGAGTAACGTTTCAGTATTCCAGCATTAGTCTGCTAGGCTGCACCTATTACAGGAGTTGCAAAATTGTACATAACATGGAATTCATAATAGACTACACATTCTTTGTCGGACCGAAATTGATTGATTAGCAAAAATACTTCGGACAGTATCTGCTAGCACGCCTTGTAGCCCCATGTGGGCAAGATTGGGTTTATTTAACCATCTTAATAAATAAACTCAATTTTTGAACATCTAAATCTGAACGAGGGGTATTGCATAAGTACCATCTAAATAATTATGGATTTCCAAAAGAACTATTAACGTCGTGTCAATATATAATGACATTCAGTCCAAATTTTTATATTTTTCAGTTTGACACGGACCCTGGCAGAGGCATTATAAGGTATGCCTTATCAGATCGCACCTTCATTGATAAGGGTTGGACCATGCTGCCTACAGAGAAAGTTGTACGTAAGGTAAATTTCAGGATTCTCTATAGTATCTACTTAGTAATTCTAGGTCATCTAGGTACCTAATTAATATTTAACCAAATACTTTATTTCTAGATGAATGTTTACCGTATGCGTCCAGCACATCCTGAATTTGATTGGTTTGAACACAATAAAAATAAGCGATTAATGACATACGACTCGGGCGAAAGGCTAGCAGAGTTTGATGATAATGGACGTGGTCGCTGGTACTACAGGAATGGACGACTAGCTCTAGATTATTACGATGCACAAGGTAAAATACGACGTGGATATGACGATACCTAATTATGTAGATACCTACTTGACGGCACGATTGACGTTGGCGAGTGACTGCTGTACTGCGCAGCGCAACTTGTTACCGGTAGCTGACTTAGTATCTGTGAACTTCAGCGTAGGTAAGTTTTTCTTTATAATCATGTGAATATTGTGTCTAAATATTTTGCATCTGTTTCAGAAACCAATGCTCAACAACGTTTCGTTATATACAGCAGCGGTGAACCCGATGAGCGTGGTCGCAGTCATCCCATTACAATACTAGCCACTTTTGATTATCTCGGAAATGGTGTAGTTTTCGATCACGCGGGCAAGATACGGTAAATTACATACATACATACATACATACATACATAACTTCACGCCTGTCTCCCATGGGGGTAAATTCTGAATAAATAATACTTGTCTGGAATTATTTACCTACCTTTAATACCATAGATAGTATCTACTTACATTTTTTTTTAAATTATTTAGGCAGTGGGTACAAGTGTTGTTTTAAAGCCGCGTCATTTTCTAGGGGGAACTCGGCTATCGATTCTGACTCCGAATCAATAAAAAAAATGTAGGTAAATATTTTTCAATTTTCTGTAAATTACGGAAATCCGTAAGTGCGAACTACACGCCGCCGTCTTGTAACTAGCTTTATAACGCGGCTCTATACACACAAACTCAGACACGTAATTGATATTATTCCTAATTCCATAAAACTCCAATAAGAATCATTGCTGTCGCTTATTCTGAAATACTGTCGAACTTAAACGATTTATTATAGCCGTATTTTTAACTATTGGCCCGAAACTTTCTCTTACATCGAACCATTATGACTTCTGTGACATGCCCCCGAGAAATGACACCTACTTAGGGTACCTAAAATTGTTGGAATTATTTTACAGACTTAAATACAATCAAACAGAAGGTGTGGTACTAGACCGTGGAATTGGTCCTGTTTCACATTGGAAATGGCATACATTGAATGATCCCCCGGTACTTCAGCAAGTCATGATAGATACTCAAATGGCTCACAAAGATCCTGAAATCGTTCAGCTTGGGTCTATCGCAGACACAAGACTTCGCCCGGATAATGAAGAAATGTTAGCTATAGAATTTGATAATTTTATCAAAGAGAAAAGTAAGAAACTGTCCCAAAAATTTAAACCCTTTCAAATAAAGATGAAAGCTTTGAAGATCAATGAACATTTTTCTTTGAAAGTGCTAGACCAAGCTACTATATATCTCATTTATAGAGATGGTTCAACGAATCTTAAACTTAATATTGGTATGATATTGGATCACCAGGAAATTGTGGACACCGATACTGCAGAAGTGGGGGAAGTGTCGAACAGTTTGGAACGGTTCCCAGCTCGTACTGATAGTCTTGCAGGTTTACAACGCAGTGTGGCTTACGCCCAGCGCTACGAGAGACAGCGTGCGGAGCGAGATCGACGATTACGGAGACCAGAACCCCATGCTAGTGTAGATAATTTGACTGCTGCACTAGCTCCACCTTTGCGACCTCCTTTGCTAACGGTTAACGGATCATCATCGGGTGTTGAATATTGTAATTGTAGAAAACCTGCAAATAATCTGTACTATAATACTCGTCTTCTTTGATGGATATATGGACTTGTTAAAAATTTTCTTTATACTCGGTATGTTATTGATATATTGTTTTAATATTCGTTACTTAAATTAACCTTATCGTAATTGTTAGTTTAATTACTTACACTTATTTCATAGTTAATAAAATAATTATAATTATGACTTGTTTTACTTATTTTATGCCATATAATTTATGGGAACTGCTCTTTGCATGTGCTATGGGACTTCCTCGTTGGCCGAGTGGTCGCAATTGCGACTGCCGGGTAAGGGGTCTCGGGTTCGATTCCCGGGTCGGACAAAGTATTACTGGGTTTTAAAAAAATTCTCAATAGTAGCACGGAGTCTGGAACTGTGCCCGGTATATGGCAATAGGCTCACCCCCTATTACATGGGACTCATAACATAAATAGTGAAAAGTGGGTGTTATATTGTACAGTGGTATAATGTGCACCTCTGCCTACCCCTTCGAGGATAAAAGGCGTGATGTTATGTATGTATGTAATTTATGGGAACTAACGTATGTGAAATTTTACTGCAGTACAATCTGCTAACATGGCCAAAGACAAAATAAGTGTGGTAGAGCCATACTTCGTGGCGAATACCACGGCCTCATAGAAAACCGACGTGAAACAACGCTTGCGTTGTATTTCGTCGTGTGAGTGAGATTACCAGGGGCCCAATTACCCCCCTCCCTAGTCTCTCGAATCCCCGAATACTCCACAATCCTCAAATTCCCAATTCTCAAAAGGCCGGTAACGCACTTGAAACGCTACTATATACGCGAATATCTATGGCTTACCATCAGGTGATCCGTCTGCTCATTTACCGGCTTATGCTATAAAAAAAGTATAGATGGTGGATGTCCGCTCATTCGCACGAAGCGTTCCGCTTCAAAATTTCTTGTGCGAACCACTAAGGAATGGTGGGATTTTTTGCCAGTCTGTGTTTATCAAAAGGTGTTTACAACTTGAGTGTTTTCAAGGCCTGAGTGACTATTCACTACCCCTATACTTATTTTACTCTTTGCAATTCACTCAGGCCTAACTTATGTTAATAAAATAATAGTAGGCGCTGTAAAACCTGTTAGTCAACTACTGAATCAACAAAATATTGTCTATGTTTTCGACCACACGTCATTATCAGCTGTCAGTAATTTTAAAATGTCATATGTAAGTACACTGTCAATTTGACATCTGTTATTCTGTCTGAGTACTATCGTCAGGCAATTCATGTTTTTGTGCATTAGAAATACGCAGTGTTTTATAAAATGTTAAAAGTTTAGCCAATTTAAATAGATTATATATTTATTTCTAATTATTTGTATATAATATCCGTGTATGTAACAATTTTACTATAATGGTGAGTTGACATGTCAAGTTAATAGCAATTGAATGTTGGAATAACAACGATACAAATTAGCTTTTATCAACTTTATGATTCAGAGTTATCAAGACGATCCCAGTTGTTATGTTGGGTCCTTCCCCAAGGACTTCAGTTATGGGCCATTCGAGCAAAATGGAGATGGTGACAATACTTCACTACAGGAAGATCACAAGCCTAGGATTCTGCTCATGGGACTGAGAAGGTATTCTTTTGTACTTATGGGACCACAACGAAGTAATGGCGTAAGCTTCAGACAGCTAGTTTCACAATACAAATCGATATGCATGTAATAGATTCTTAGTTTTGTTGATTCTGATAAGGATCAACTAAAGACTGTTAGTGTGGTGGTTAAGTTTACAATATTATTTAATGAGAATTTTAAAAAATATCTGTTCTTCTGATTTTAGATCTGGAAAGTCATCTATACAGAAAGTGGTGTTTCACAAAATGTCACCAAACGAAACATTATTTTTGGAGTCAACAAATAAAATTGTGAAAGATGACATTAATAACAGCAGTTTTGTACAGTTTCAAATCTGGGACTTCCCAGGCCAGATTGATTTCTTTGATGCAACATTTGATTCAGACACAATATTTGGAGGATGTGGTGCTTTGGTCTTTGTTATTGATGCACAGGTGGGTGCCATTGTTGGGCAAATTAAACAATTAATTATGAATATACATGTCTAATTCTTGTGCTGTATATTCCAGGATGACTACCAAGATGCATTGGATAAGTTACAATTAACTGTCACCAAGGCATACAGAGTAAACAGTAACATTAAGTTTGAAGTATTTATACACAAAGTAAGTATCACCTAACTGTAGCCACTTACATTCAATTTTGTTACAAATATGTATTGACATTTGTGAGTACTTATCTGCCTCATAATTATATTTGATTAACCATGACTCATTTAGTTGGTGTTCTGTTTTGGTTATGATAATTATGTACACATTACTAAAATAAACATTGAATTAAGAACATTATGTCATTAAAATATAGTTTAGTTTAGATTCTATTTGGCATAATTGTTTAAAAACATGATGCTTCAGACTATGCTAGAATTTATTTTAGAATTACTAATTTATTCCTAAAATAAGTTTATTATGGTTGCTTATTTCAATAAATAAATACATCTAGTTTACAATTTTTTAATTGGATGAAATATTAAGGATGTTTTCATCATTACAGGTTGATGGTCTCAATGACGATTACAAGATGGAATCTCAAAGAGACATTCATCATCGAGCTACTGAGGACCTGGCTGAAGCTGGATTGGAACATGTGCACTTATCATTTCACTTGACCTCGATATATGACCACTCCATATTTGAAGCCTTCAGTAAAGTAGTACAAAAGCTGATTCCGCAATTACCAACTTTAGAAAATCTTCTAAACATCCTCATATCTGTCAGTAATTAATATTATTGAGAGCTTCTTCATCATTGTCTAATTAGACTGTTAGGTTAACTACCACTTAATTTGCATCTATCGCTTAACTGAATCAAAGTTTCGCACAATTCATACAGAAAATACATTACATAGTTGCCCTAACAGAAACTTAATAAGACATAGTGAAACAGGCCCTTAGATTTTTTCTTTCTTGAGTTTGATTTGTTATGCAATTCAATGAAAATTTTTTGCAGAACTCTGGCATTGAGAAAGCATTCCTTTTTGATGTGGTGTCTAAGATCTATATTGCAACAGATAGTTCTCCAGTGGACATGCAGAGTTACGAACTGTGCTGTGATATGATTGATGTAGTTATTGATATATCTTGTATTTATGGGTAAGATACTTTCTATTACACATCCAAATTACAAATCTATACTTATAATAAATCTGTAGAGAGGTCAATTCTGTACATAAAATATATTTAAAAAATAACTATCAAGGGGTGGTTAGAGATCGCTACTGATGCCAAAAATGCAATTAGTAAAATTTTTGTCTGTCTGTCTGTCTGTCTGTATGTTCGTTATGGAAACAAAAACTACTCGACGGATTTTAATGAAATTTGGCACAATTATTCTTCATACTCCTGGGCAGGTTATAGTATACTTTTCATTGCGCTACGATCAATAGGAGCAGAGCAGTAAAGGGAAATATTGGAAAAACGGGAGAAGTTACTCCATTTTTTAAGCTTCCGTCACGTGTGCAGGCTTATAGGTTAAAGCTACATAGAAATCATGTATGACGGAAATATTGTCCTTAAAATTATATAAAAAATAATCCTCGACAACATATGTCTATCTTTTATGGTTGACTCACAAATAACACGTGAAACTCCCGATAGCTGAGCAATTCGGTGATTTCTGATTGTATTTGTCTACTTAACGTTTACAATACTCATTCATAGACTTTACGCTGTAACTGAAAGGCCAATGGTTGAAAATAGCTTGACTCGATATTATAAATGAAAATATGTGAGTTTATGTGTATGTTTGTTACTCAGTCATATTAAAACGAATGAAGGGACCGGAATGAAATTCGGAACAGAGGTAGATTATGGTCTGAAGTGATACATAGGCATTTTACCCCTGGGATCGCAGGCGAAGCCGCTGGCAGAAGCTAGTACTCAAATATTTTTTGCATTGGATTTTTCTTTGGCATAAGTATATAACTCATTATTTTTTTACTTATTTTTCAGCATGGTTGATGAAACTGAAGTGAACACATTTAACAGTCAGAGTTCCAGTTTAATAAAGCTGAACAATGGTACTGTGCTGTATCTTCGTGAGGTCAACAAATTCCTTGCGCTCGTTTGTATTTTGCGTGAAGAAAACTTCCAAAAACAAGGTACTGTATGATTTATTTTATGTTTAGTAAGCTTATATGAATTTGCATATGCAAAAAGAGTAAGAGACTAAAGAAATCTGATTAGGGGAAAAGGAAGACCCTTATGTATGTTTGTATCCACCTCAACACAGGTGGTATAAATAACTAATGAACTGGATGTACAAAGATATCCTAGCAAGAGTCTTTGGGAAGCTGAAAAACATTTAATTATGGTTTTGGTTTCAGGTGTGATAGACTACAATTTTTTGTGCTTCCGTGACGCTATAACTCAAGTGTTTGAGTTACGCAACAAATGCCAGAATGCTATAACATCTAGAGGGACGTCCGGTACTCCAGAACCTATACCCAATGGCGCAGCTGATTCAACAGAAAGTGCTTCCGACCGCTCACAAACTCATTTACCATAGCATATCACAGCAACGCTTATTTTTGCAAACCTAATACAATAATAATATGTGTAACTATATTTTTTAAATAACATTAAGTATGTGAATAAAAGAGCATAATTATGTTAAAACTCTTTTAATTTATCCCACGTTATGTAAAACACTCATTTCGCTTGGTATTGTATCTTTTCACATCACAACAGTTTTTATGGATCCACTACTTTATCAGATTTTTAGTAAACGACTTAATTGTAAATAATTTAGTCGAATAATGAGATTGTGTACTACTCTAATGTCAATCTGCCATATGTCAATGTCAAATTGTCAACACGGGAAAATACTACTTTGTGTGGTATCTTTTGTTTGTGCTTTGCTATTCTATTTGAGCTTATGGTTGTACTTCGAAAATAATTTATTTTCTCTGCAGTACGTAGTGTTATTGA